TCGAGAGTAATAATTATATAGTTATTGGCGACCATTGACATAAATGAGCTGTTTAGGATCCTTCGTATTCTATAAAGATGGTTTCTAAAATTGACTGAACTAACTTCTTCGTACCTAGCGAAAATCATACGATGTTATTTTATCGAATTAGATAGAAAGTCATTCTGAGAAGATAGCCATCTTGAGCAAGGCAGACTCAAGAAGGTAGAGTTTTCGGCCGTGCTTTGGATGCAAGAACATCGAGTTCTGTAAATTTCTAGATTGACTCTAGTCGTATACGTATACGGCAAATCATCAAAGAGTCAGCTATTAAAAATAGAAATTTATAAGTGCTAATTTTATTCGAATGGGCAATACTATACGCGATAGAGTGCAAAATCAATTCTATAAATGTTTCCTTAAAAAAATTTTTACTCTACTCATTTATGTTTTTCCATTACGGATGAGACACAAACAGAAATTGAAAAAACAGAAAAAAAACATCAATAACAAAACACTATTCTAATTATGTTTGAAATTACTGATCATTAATGTTTGTTTTAAAAATGTATATAGCATATATTTTTTAACAGAACTAAGATCACTTATAACAATGTTTTTTTTAGAAATATAATTTGAACTAACTTCGAGGCTAGATGTTGTTGTTGTTGTTGTTGTTGTTTCTGCAGGTCGTCGTAAATAAAATTAAGCTAGCGCTGCGATTTTTCTTTTATTAGAAACCATTTTAATTTATTTGCACTTCACCCGTGCAAAACCTGTAGCACCCTTTTCCTATTATCAAAGCCAGACAACCACACAAAGATCAAGCAAAAAATCACTCGTAGATACAATTTTCAACAAAAATTAAGCTTGTAATATTGAAATGCCTGATGCCATTACCGTGCTTCGAAAACAGCACTTTCGCCTGTATTTGGTGAAGCGACGTATTTGAAACAAAAATTCACATAATATTTTAGGGTCTATTGTCGATAGGATGAATGCATGCGGAAACATTCATCTAGACGTATTCAGCCTTGTAACCATTGAGACTTTGTGTCTAGTACGCTCGCTATGCCACAAAGGTTTTCCTGTGAAAGTGTCTTTTATTTTACATGTCAATATCCTTAAATAGTATTGCTCGATCGAACGTCTTCTTATGCCATTAGATGGATAACGTATATGATCTACGCACAATAGTTATTATGAATAATTCCGTCCTAGCACGCATACCTATAGCGTTGATGCGTACCCCGATGAAGGAAAGAAAATTGATCTGATCAGTGTTTTCTACCGATACCATCAGCAGGACTATCGCATGTGGAACACTATTCCACACACACATATGAATACGGAACGTTGTTCCACAGGGCCATTTTTACTACTACAATTGTCCTTCTACGTCGTAACATCCCGCCATAGCAACGTCAGCAGCACTTTCGATAAAGGTGGCTGTTATTCTCGTCGCTCGTCCGAAAGGAGACAGATAAACAATCTCAAGAGCTACCGCAATGCACCAATGGCGGATGGCAAATGCATTTCAGATGTATTATCAAGCGATATCAGTGGAAAAACTTTCAGTGATTTATCATCGGCGAAATCTCAAACACTTATCTAAAGAGAATCGTCCGAAACAACCTGTTTGTCGTTGGACAAAGTATTTCTGCCAAGGTCGCAAGTAACTTCTAAATAGTACAGATATTAGGAAATTTTTGTTGAGTTAATAGTATATAGGCTCTTGCTGTTGCAACTCCTTCCTTTTAAGCATCGTTCCTGTATATATCACGTTGTTTGTTCTACCCAAAGGCAACCTTCCTTCCGTATCTGTAGTTGAAAATAATAATAAGGTTCCCAGAAAATAGTAATAACTTACCAGCTTTTGAGTTACCCATAGAGGAGGAAAGAGCCCATGTTGCCGTTATTCTCCTAGCTTTGTTGGCTTTCTTGATCTACAAACAAGCCGGCGCGTGCCTGATACCGAATGGCCTTATATTAAATATTGATCAAAGTCGTATGGTGAAAAGAACCGACGAAAGGAACAATATTTCGCTAACTGATATGTCCCCTCCCGCTTTCATCAAGCTTGCCCTTGGAAAATTGTCGCTAGTGAAAATAGATCGCCTTGAGAAGGTTATCAGTTCCCTACATTTACAATACGTGTACATACACAAACGCTGACCATACACGAGAGCTCGTTCTCCTAGTCCGTAGCAGTATGGAACTGAAAATTAATAATTGACGGAAAAATTTCTATGAGGGGTATGAGGGTAAATGACAAAGGGTTGCTCTCAAAGGACCCACTTCAATTCGCTCCGTATATTTCGGATTCAGCCAAGTAGATTACGAACCAAAGATAAAGAAAGGACAGAAACAGTTATTACTTAGGTCAGTTAGCATCATTTCCGTTTCCAGCAGTAGTAAAAAGGATTTATTGCATGAGGAAAGGATGATCTTTACGTATACGAAATCGCTACTATACCCATACCAAAGGAACTATTTTGAAGCAATTTGTATTAAATCTAATCAACTGAAAAACGCATGCATAATACAGACAATTTCCATCAGCAGTAACTTAATAGTGAAAGTTCCGATAAAAACATTTTGGAACATCAATATCGTTCTTTATAGTATCTACAGTGGTTTTGGTCACCTAGTTCTTGACCGCCAATGCGCAACCTTCTGAAAACAAGTGTTCTTTCATTCAGAGAGAAATAATACAAATTCGTTATTTCTTTTTCCTGGCGTCGTTTCGAGGTTGAGAGGCGGAATCTTTTTGGAAAGTGATTATGCCAACAAAAATATAACAACAAAAAAAAAAATTACAATAACTGCCATCATCGTCGTACTTCGCTTTCGTACATAGGACGCGTTCAAAACGTTAGTCAACTGGTCTGCTATGCCCCTGCTAACTGCACCCTGTGAACAGTAGGATCATTTTTCGACTTGAATTAAAATTCTACTTTAACGCAGTTAGTTGCTTTAAGCAGGGATCCAGTTCATGAGTGATGATCATAATTGATTACTATATGTTATAAAACAAAAAAAAAAAAAAATTATAATATATGTTAGCCAAGAGACCTGAATCTAACGTAAACGGATGTTACAAGCCGAAATATCTTAGAACTCAACTCACCCGTCTAACACGACTCGTCCTGGCTGTAATTGTTCACAACACGTATCTTTAAAGGTAGCATTTCGAGTTTCGGTATTATCGATGCTACATAGGTGGTAAAAGTAATTAAATTTTCTAAGTCATTCTGGGTTCTATCCTGGGCACCTGGTCACAGATATCACGTGTGGTTAAACGTTATAGATGCCTATGACAGTTCTAGGAGGAACGTCAATTGCTATGGTTACAGTTACTATCATGGGACTTATACGCTCTCGACAGAACTGAAGTGAACAAAAAACCAACTAAAAAAAAAAGGAAAATTTGCTCGTTCCACCCGTAGTAATTTTAAGCTTTTCGCTAAGAGTAACCATTAATAACAAATCAACTGATAAACAATTCTACTCTATTACGATAGATATCTCTAAATTATTTAAGAACGTTTTACAACAGCTAGAGATTTAGAGGTGACTGCGAAAAATTAGAAGACTCCTTCATGCGGGCAGCAGTCCACCCGCATGCCAAATGTATTGCTAACAAGACGTCGGGCAATCGCTTATTTTTGCAGAACTCGAGAAGTAGTCAATTTCCTAGCTGTTTACGATAATCCCACGGGGCCCGTCGTTTGATAACCAGACCTTGTTTGTTTTGATGTTGTTTATAAAGAGAAATTACTATTTTGCAAGGGCTGCACCGTTAGCTATCGTCTGCTTAACAACCCAGTACCTTGGAAAATATCGATTACTTTCTTTTCATCCTTATGAAGCCTCGGATAAGGTTCGTTATCGTTATGCCGAATCTTTTTGTGCAACAGCACCAGATAACTGATAACAAATTGACTCTTAGCAAAATTCTGCCAAGATACTGCTGAATGTTTGTCCTTAAGCCTACCTAGTACTTTTCAAATTGATAATACAATCAGCAGAGCTTTAAAATGATCATAGTTAGAAAGCTACAGAAAGAATGATACAATATAATAGTACAAATCATCTATATACTACATCCTAATATCCGAAACGGGTTACTGATTCGGGTGTTGCACTGATATGTTTCAGTACACCTTGCGATTCGGAAACAGGGATCTTATATCTGTGTGTCAACTAGCCCGTAATTCTGTTATTATTAATTCTTAACGTACTACTGTTGATTCGTCGCTATTTTGTTGTTAGTTCGATACTTTAAAACGGACCTGATAAAGCTTTTAGGAGTTTTCAGGCGTTTCCTTGAAATGACTCATATTCAGCGAAAGAAGACCCTACAACAAACTATAAGAGAAATAATTTCTATTAGAACGCCCGATGTGTTTTTTGTGTAGGCCTGAAAAGGGTGTTCGTGAAATTTTCTACTGTTTTGGCGAAGATCGTTCGCAAATATAATTTTTTTCGCAGTCTACATAGGTTCTTTATATCATAATCATCATAAATTGATGGCACAAAAAAAAACTAAGATAATAATCATCATCATAAATAATTCTCTTTAGACAAATAGGTGGACCGATAAAATATCTTGATTTGAAGCACTGTTCGCCTATTCTTTACTACTATGGCCCGTTTCACGATGTCCGCCAAAGCGTTTCTAGGGCACAGCTATTCTGTCAAATGCGTTATTATCCTTAAAGTAGTAAACGCCGTCCAACATCCTGTGAGATCAGCTCGTAATGACAGTGATATGTACTTTAAATTTTTGTTTAAGTCAATATTCCTGATGAGTTAGTTTGACACACAAACCCAGGCTGAACATACAAATAAATACTCGACAATGATGCTGTCCAAGGTGCCATGTAGCAGATGAAAGTTAACTCAGTTGGTACTTTGTATAACTTAATTGAGATTGTACAGGGTAAAAACAGTAATGAAGTAATCGAAATGCGTGTACAATAGCAGATTGACTATCTGCGCATTTACGTACCGTTTTACTTTGAACTTTCCGGGAAAGTGAACCCAGTTAGTCGTAAATGGCGCATAATAACATCTCCCATGTCGGCTAGTTTATTTACGTGTTACGTTCTGGAAGGTTACTTGTCCGCGCTACTGCGTCCACAGTTACCAGGCGCCTCAACGAGCACTGTCGGCCATTTCATTACCTGTAAATTTCTAAGTTTATTAATGTAAATATTTTAAGTGTCATAAAACGTCATCCTCAGTTTAGCCCCTCAAAAATGGGTATGCTTAGTCACAAAAAACATTTTCGCCACTAGTTTTATTTCATATTTTTTTCTAACGTAAAAAAGCTTTGAAAGTAGCCTAGAATATTTACTCCCTAAACAGCGAGGACTCTACGGGAGTATAAATTACTTTACTTATTTATACGAGGTGCATAGTGGTTTAAATGCAAGCGCTTGTGTCGGAATAGCGCCTTTAAAAGTGGCTGAGGCGAGCGCGTCCTTTGAATCAAGAATCTTATTTTTATGTGTAGCTAAGCAAGTTATTTCAGTTTCTTCGCCTTGCTGTAATACTCTACCTTTGCTAAGTGGTTTCAGGGAACGGAGACGAACAGGCAGTGTCAAAGCGTTGCATGATTTGCTGCTGGGCACGCTCTATTGTAGAACCTAAACTCAAGATCAAATTTTGTAGCTCAAACGAAGTGGCTGCAAGAGGCGTACAGCAAACGAATGGAATAAAATACATACCCATCACCGAATCATGTGATTAGGGAAAAGGAGCAATGAACAAGCAGTGTATTTTAAACCTTACATCTATTACGTGGACACAAAAATGTATCAGTTCCTTTTCCTATTCAATATTGTTCTTTATTTAATACGCTATCCTCTGCTTAATCACTTTCTCAAATCGTGTCCGTTTTATAGCCAAACAGGTGATGTTAGTCACTCCCTCAAACAGCTTTTGAAATGCTTCATCGTTGTCGTACATTGTATACGCTACACGGTATCTACGGGGGAGGCGATTGCCGTAAGAGGCGCATGCGATGCACCCTTCAAAATATAGACGTAATACTCGCTATGACCGTGTTTCTGTACGGTACCTGCCAATCGTAGGCTCGACGCAATAGGGTACCGCGACTGCTTCCTACTTTGCACATTGGCTGCCTAGACATGTTGACTCAGATGGCACTAGCATAGGCTGATGCTGTGAAAATTCACTTTGGCCGCAGACCAGCGTCGAAGGGACGTCAGTGTTGCCTGTGGGCTATTGTAGTATCAAACGTCCGCGCACAACTTGAAAGTACGAGGCGGGGCTAAGCGGTACCATAACAGACGCAAGCCAGCCAGGAGCTCCATGTCGCCTGGAATATAGTAACCATGCATCATATGTAGACGGGCAGACGTCACAGATGAACATCAAGTGATATTTAATGATACTTCTTGCATCAACCACTTTCACAAATTAATGTAGTACGAAAGCATATTGATTCCGTGTTCCTATTTATTATTCTGATTTGTATCCGCAGGCACAAGGTAATTGCTTTTGAGTATCAACTGACGGTAGGCCATGCATCAATGGAACTGCGTGGATAAAAATGAAAATAGATTTGAGGAGTGAAAGTCATTTGTTAAACAGTTGCACTAAGTCAGTATCGTATAAGAAGGTGGAAATCTAATCATATTAACAATAACCATATTTAGCACAGCGCACATGTACAGGGTGAGGCGATAGTTTGAAGAAGTCAGCTGACATTTTGAGGGTCTCCCTTGCTACCTAGACAAATATTAATCTGCGTTGAAGATCTAGCCTTGATCGTAGTTGCATATTTTTTACCCCATAAATCAATTCAGTAATCTAACCGACCTTACTAGACGGCAGATCAATTTTTTCCATCAGGTAGCGACTAATTTATGACCTGAGCAACTATCGAATCAGATGCCAATGACACTTTTCTTTTCATATTGCTATTGTTATTAGCACCCTTATTACTGGCATTGTCATCACCAGAAGGCCGTTGTTACTAAATGATCCATGACAAAGAAGCAGTCTTTTATTCCGTTGAAGGCGTTGCCATTTGGCTGTGGGCTTGGTATTCGTGATCCTTCAAATTTTAGATAATCTATGGGCTCCGATCGCTCATGATTGCTTAACTAGTTTACGGCTGTATGCTTTTCCATCTTTCTCCACTTAGGCCTACCCTCTGCTCGTGTGTGTATAGGCCTGCTTGGGCTTGTGCACAGACCCTAGCCTATCTAAGTGCCTCCACTGTGGTCACTGTCTATGCAGGTCCACATTTATTCGACTGGTTCCGCAAACCGGCCCGGAGCCTCACACCAGATAGGGAAAGCTTTTCTATACGTTAATATACATCAGCACAAAGGGACATGGCTGCATCAACGATAGTAATCGCCGAGGCGTTTAGGACCTCAACCAATGGACCATAAAACTTCAGAGCCGGCGGGGGCCCTAGACTTCTTGCTCTCACCTTACTCCGTCTGAACTAGCCATTCCGATTTGGTTCTATTTTGTCTTAGCTTATATCACGCTCGTATTCTATGCAAAGGGCACACTCTCCGTTTATTGCTGGGCCGCTGTTTCCCTCCTCCGGCGACTTCGCGACAACAACACTCACGACTTGCACGATTGGTTTGCTTTGTTCCTCATTCGTCTTTGTCGATGGATGTCTGCAGTTTGCCGTTCCAGAGCGCGTCCCATACTCAGCCTCTGCTTTGTATACAAAGATATATATGCACAAGCCATAATGACGTCGTTAAGCTGCTATGGAAACGGCCGCTTCAGCTACTGTGTTTGCGTGAAAGATAGTGTGTCTCAACCAGACGGGAGCTGTCCATTGCAAAACTACTGATTGACTAATTTAAGCTAACGGGCAACCTGCAAGTCACTAGGAACCGTTGTGGAATAGCGTGACTATCGGAAAGTTGCGCATTCGATTATCAGCAGGATACGCTTGTAATAAATTATCGACGCTAATTTGTGTTTTACGAAGAGAAAAATTTGAGAATTTAAAAATTACAGAAAGGGCTAGTACGGGATATGATAGTATCGTCGAGAAGAATGATAGATTGAGTTGTGATAATCGTTACGGTTGGACAAAGGCGTATGTGGTAAGCAAATGTTTTGCACTATCCTGCAGTCGCCTTAAATTGACATCATAGGTGAACGTTGGAAAGCCGGATGGCCGATAAAAGCGCGAGAACTGGCGCCATTTTGACGAACGGGACGTTATCCTGGAATAAGTCAGCTACTGCATTTCTGTATATGAATATTTAGAGAATGTGACTGTTCGAATTATTTTCCCGTTGGAAAATAGTCTGTACGTAAAAGCTACAGATGCTGGGTGCAATTGAGATCCGAGTGCTCTATTGAAAGGGTAAATTTACGCCATGGAGGCGTAGGTCTTTAAATGTGAAATTAAATAGAACAGCAGGAGGTGAGTAGTAAAGCATTAGGGAATGTAATTTTCTTTGTAACGCTAAATGGTGTATAGCTAAACGAAGGAAAGGTATTGTGCTATGTTGTTATTTAGATGGCAAGTTGTTATAGATGTTTGGCATTATATCACCTTTTATTCGCTGCTGCTGTCCAGTAGTTGAGTCGCAGAAGGGCGCCATCACACTGTGACTGACAAGAGTACGCTATGACACAGCTGACTGTTGTGATGGATCCTATCTAGGGCTTTCTCTTCTGCCTATTCTAATATAGGATATAGATGGCGTGCTCTTTGATAGCTTGCTGATAGATTTAAAAGTAAAGGCGGGCATTAAAAGAGGCATCATATAGTAAAGTAAATGAAGTCTCTGCGGCCCAATGGCTTAGTTTGTGAAAGTCCCCAGGTGCGTGATTTCTAACATATGACAAACTATTCACAATGCTTTATGCTTCCTTATGGGCCAGTAACTGACCGATAATTCAATCAGTCAATAAATAACAGTTAGTCAGATTGTCGGTGACGAGACTGCCAGGGATCTCTACTGCTGTTGAAGTGCAAATTACCGTACGTGATGAAAAAGCCGTACGCATGTAAACTAGAAGGCGGGTACATATTTCCAGTTGAGCTAAGAAGTGAGTGTATCCGTGAAGCATTGCAGTTTGTGCCCCGCAATGGAGACATCGGCGTTGTGACATATCCTCGAAGTGGCACTACATGGATCCAGCAGATTGTCTTGCGGCTGCTCCGACATGGTGAGTATATGAGATACATGAAAAGAAATCGAACAGAAAGTAAGCCAAAAATCGTGATGAAAGGTGGAACGACAAGAAGAGGTATCATCGTAAATATCAAGCTCGTAGCATTTCAGAGTCGACGGCCGAAGTCAGCTGTTTACTTCAATGGTACGCACACGTTTACCCTAACGTTGTACAAAGATGTCTCAAAGGTTACCTAAATTAGTACATCGACACAACAACACCATTTTACGGACAGTATTACGTAAGCAGAGTTATGAATAAGCCTCAAGAACAAATGGGTAGGCAGTGTCAATACTTGTTCGTTACAAGAATAGACAACCGATTATCTATTTCAGCCTAGTTCGGGAAATTCTACGACGTTCCCTGATGCTGCATTTATGGGACTAGGCGGCCATGACCGACAGCAAAACGTATGCTTACTAGATAGTCTATTACGAAACGAGATTACATAGATAACTAGTTCGACTTGTCGACTAGGTGAATTGCCGTCCAATGGCGACAGTTAAACGCGGCGATCCGAATTTGTGCCAAGCACGCACCACTGGACAAGTACCCAGCACGTATAATTACGAGCCATTCAAGCAAGCAAGCGATTACATCGGAGCAAAATGCTTATCAGTCACCCCCACCAAGGACACTTTGAAAAAACAACCCATCGTTATAATATCCGAACGTTTTCATTGCCCTGACGTATGCATACTTTATTTTTGCACAAATCTACTCTGCTCTCTAGACAGGCAAATTGTCCAAACGGCAGAACAGGTTTTTGAACTTAAGTAGCTCCATGCAACCCGCTCAAAGAAGCAACATCAGCATGGTCATAGAAGCGCGGTTTTCATGTAAACGATGTCATGCATGTCCTGTGTCGAACATAATCCATCCAAGGAAACCGATTAAGTTCCAGCCTTTATCTATTCTTTAACCTGTACATCGTAAACATTTGAACAATTTTGACATTAGCGATGTATGTTTAAGGGGTGCGGTCAACAATCATGTTTCAGTATACAATGAGTCAAGAGCCTTCACCTCACTGAAGTTACCTGTTGACTGTGTCGAGATTTTTTCTATGCGAAGAACATATTTGGGACGATAGAGTTCATCAGATATAGGTGAGTAATTATATAGATGTTAGATGATTACTAAATATAGAAGGCTTCTAGGGGCATGATGTATCCTATTGTCCGTCCTTTTCAAATCGGAACTTTCAAATAGACGCCATTGTTGCTGCTATATAACAAAAAACGGCTCGATGTTATTGTTCGCGGCTATTGAAGCTTAGTCTTTTATTCATCGTGAGCAGATAACGGTCGAATGTGTTCCGAGTACTATAGTCATCTCTTGGATATAGTCTCGTTAATAGTCCTTTTCAGCCAAGCATCCAGTTAAAGCCTCAGAGTTGTCGATAACACGTAAAACCTGCAACGAAATCAATTACCATTATTGACGTTGTTTTTTGTCAGAGCTGAAAAATTCATCCGTATATGCTCAAGGTCGTCGTCCAAGCGGCCTCTCTGATGGGTTCAGACGTCAACGAGAGATATGTTCTCCAGTTAATGTTTATGGCAACCCATATGCCCAATTCGAGTCTGGAATTACACTCAACCCTATACGGGACCCGTTTTTGGATGCAGCGGTTAGAAGAATCCACGTGTTTCTTTCTCGCAATAATTGACTCGTGCTATGAGGTCCGACGCAAAAATATGAAAGCAACATAATAAACCAGCAATTAGACATAGATAATGGGTGAATTCAGCTGGGGCGCGCTATGGATGTGTGAAGGACTAACGGAATTACTGGTCATGTTAGTAGTCAGTTAACTTCAGATTCTTTAACTTTTGCGCCTGATCTTATCTGTAATAAAAGTCGCAATAGACTTAAATTTCTATCACATGACCAGATCCTATTCTACTGGCTGACGCTTTGCGCCAGCGATCTTCTGGGGCTGCATAATATCCAGCAATAACGAAAACAATGAGCGTCTCGACTCGATCAGCGCAACAGATCACCATGTGACAAGCTGATCGAATGCTATAACGTATTATTATTAAGAAAGTGGTATTACTACATGCTTCCGACATCAATAATACTCGACGAAATGTATGCTCCTTCCACGTACAAACCCACATGGACGAACAATAGCTCAAAATAACGCTTATTATATTAAACGTTTATCATATTAGAGAAATGGAACGGGGAACTGCACACTCCACAAATAGTCGAACGCATTATAGCCGCTGCTAACGTTACACGTACCTGATTTACGTGCATTTACAGTTTACGTTCGGCGTAAACTGCTGCTCACTAGGTGTAACTCGATCTATTGGTAACGATCCAACAGCTAACATTCACTCAGGATAGCTGCGTGTTCCTGTTTCGCCTATCCTTTAAACCAGGAAAGTGTAACCCGTGTTTATCTCAGGTTGTGATTATTTTACAAATCCATACACGAATTTTAGATCAAGGGCTTTTCACAGTAATTTAGGTGAGTCGCTAGCCGCCTTACCTAGCGACTGCAAGCTCCTCAATAGGATCTTTCTGCTCAACCATCTAGCTGATTTACCTTCGAGAGCAAAGTAGCAACAATCTAAGGTTGAATAATTTAGGTAGCTCTCATCTAACGCAACTATCCGCTAGTCGTTCTATGACTGGTAAACGAATAATAAGAAAGAACGTTTTCGTGCTTATTATACAAATGACACAGGTGTCGGACTGTAGTCCAGGCAAAACTGGTTGGTGTCCTCAATTACATTTTCTTTTTTCCACGTAAGGACAAACATTTTCTCTTGGCTGTATACATGACGTGTATCACCGGTACAGCCCGACGCCACCTTGCTTATGTTTTTAGGCAAATATATATACACGTACAGCATAACACATAGATACTTCCTACCATTAGGCGGATTGACGATGTACTCCGTACCCCTCAAATATGGCACACACAATTAGAGATTGGTTGATTGATCGCATGCGAAGGAATAGTGTACACGTTTGATCGACTAGCATTGTTGACGCCAGCTCGGGAAGCGATTACGGTAATTCAGGTGATAAAATGTGCGTGCAGATGTCCACTAGTCTTTGTGGTTCGATGTTCTTCATCATAGCCTATGCTTCTACGTTTCCATATGATGTTCATATAACCGTTCTTCGGCAAAAGCTGTGTATATTCCAAACCAATAGACCCCAGGTTCGACCCGAATAGCCATTAAAAGCTGTTATCATACAATAGCTACATGCGTACGTAAATCAAATCTATTCGATCGACATAGTCTTCTGCTAAGTGGTATCTCTGTGACGCTAAATAATTTTGATTTTTTAATCCGGTTCGGAAACATATACTGAGCTGTACTTATTTGTATCTATTGCAACGGCAGACGAAAGGTAGTTGTGAGTAAGACTTGTCTTACTCGCCCATTGATGACTATCTTATTGATGGCAAAGATTTTTCCAGCTACAGACTGTTAACGGGTAAACAAGGATCGTGTTGTTTATAACGGTCTCGGCCAGCTTTGCGGTGAACAGGCAAAAATATGTTCGTATTTATTGCGACGAGTTCTGCTGCCCTTTCTTGTTATTCCACAAAGATATCTATCACTTTTTTCGCAGGGTAAAAATCAGCAACCTGTTTTTCTATGATCGAGAATAACTTATAAACCTCAATTCTTCGGCCGCTAAGGTCAACGAGGCAGCATTATTTATCATCGCCCTTTATTACCTCTGACCGTAGAGGTTTGGCTAGTGACGATGTGAGACCCCAGTTTGCATCGTCAATTCCAAGACGCCATCAGGGTCTATTCAAATGAAAGCTTCTATGCTCTATTGATAAATGATGAATGTTACGAAAATAATGAGAAGTTGTCCCAAAAGGCTCAAAGTAGCGCTTATTGATGATTATCGGTATTGAATTTAGTTGATTTCTGAAAGGTTCAGTGGCGACAGCTAACCTCAGACGGGCCTTGATGCGCTTTACGGATACGCAGTATACGTAAACGTAAAAAAATCTCCACATTCGAATCCGCTCGAAAAACTGACATAATTAAAGTATGATTAAACTGTTAATTCAAATAGGTGTAACAAAAGCGTTTTCTTTTTCAGGCATAGGCTGTAATTATGTTAGTCTTAGACGCTGCAACACCGATCTATGCAGAAGGCAAACATGTCCGAAAATAAATGAATGATGATATTCAGGCTAAACGATGAGCTCAATTGAAAAAGTCTGAAACAGATCGCTGAGTTTCAGCTAGGAACTAAGCGCGACACATAATTGTAATCCTCCACTGCACCGCCACGGGAGCAACTCTCACGCTCAAACCAGGACAGTTAAAACTCTGCTCATACTTTCAAGTGATCGTTGCTCATAGCCATAATTCAGCATTTTCTTTGAGTGTTTTTAGGTGTGAATGTTCTCACAAATCACCTATTTGGACATTTTAAAATAGCTTTTAATGCAGCCTGAATGACCTTCATACTCTGAGGTAGCTCCTTTTAATGGCTTCATGTTGAACCTTCGTGTTTGTCTCATAATTTTCTAAATGTTACGAAGCAGTATTAAAGCGAGAAAGCAGCGTTTACATCACGCAAGAAACAGATCATTTGGTAAGAAATGAACAATCGACTACCAAAATTGTAGAGTAATCTTTACAATCGGAACCTGTCTTATCGTATGATATATGTATTTTTAGGTCTTTTGTTGGACACGACTCTTCTTGGCAGGTGGATATTGGAGCTGAGGAAGTCAATAACCTTTTTTTTTTTTTCGAGCCTTGATAGGATTACACAGAATTTATGCAGCTAGCTTTGACTAAATTTATAAATAACATTCAGATATAATTCACGATATCATTTTACTCAGCACTGCCTTGAAGTTAAGTTACGTTTTTAATGAAAATAATACCTTAACAGCTAGTTGGATAGCAGCGGCTTATTTGTCTTGACCAGAATCACCCTATCACAGATAGGACTCTGTATGCACGCTTGTTCTTCGACATCTCGTAAGCTCGTTTGTTTTCGCTGAAAACCTGAACTAACTAGTTTTATCAAGCTATAACGGATTACTAATCACCCACTCACATCAATGTTAGCGTCAATTTTTTATGCTGCGACATTTATACATGTAATAACACTTCGTTTGTTGCCATGATTCAGTGGCGCCAGCAAACTGTCTCAATGAAACCACGAGACCTGTTTCGGTCTTACCCTCCATTGTCATATCCTGAATAGGAATCAAGCCATTTATGCCACCCAATGCAGCTGGTAAATGTTTGATAATAAGGTTGGATAACATCTATTGAAATTTGTACTTATTGCGGTACATAGCTGTCAACGGCATGAGCTTGACGCCGTTATGCCTGCGATTATTGATGGAAATCGAAGATTTTTTATCTAGGAATAAATATTTGCTGAAATTAGAGATTAGAAGCTAAAAAATTTCGAACTACCAGTGGTTGCCGGGTGACCAGTTGCGAATTTCTATGTACGCACATTTGTATACTATAGCGGCAATATTTCTTTTATATGTTACTTCGTATTGAATGTTTTAAGGCAAATCTATTCGAGTTTACGATTTACAGCAGTGTTGAAGACTGCAAAAACCAATTGAGAAACACTCGTGCTAGCAAGGTATCAGTTTCAAGTCGTAGTTGGCGTTTCCGGGCCTCGATCACGCCAAGAAAAATAGCATTTGTCTATTAAGGTCAAAATGGTATCGTGATCTACGTACATAACAGTTCTGCAGACGTAAAGAAGAAAATTGAATATCCCTTTCAGCTTCATCAGTTAGACCGAGGCCTGAAATGACTAACGGAAATTGAGGGTAATCAACCTAAAAAAAATCGCCTCTGCAGTCGCGATCTAGAATGTTCGTTCCATTAGCGGCCTTGTTGAGCTTAGCGGATGGATTTCACTGACTTCTTATTTTGGTAGGCGTTGCCATCCGCCACCTAATCCCCGTTTGAAAAACAGTACAAAGAATTAAACTGGAGAGAGAGAGAGAACTCGAACAAGTTGCACAAAGACGAAAGGCGTTCCCGGGATCTTTTATTTCCGCAGAAGGATCATATAAAGAATTACGGAGTGGCGCAGCTAGGTTAGGTAGGCTTAAATCGTTAGTGTGTCCGTCTCTGACATCTTTCTACAACGAAGCTATCTACTTTTAAGATTCCATTTTCGGTTAGCATGGCAGAGGCCTTTCGGGCAGGTCAGCCGCATGCCGGTGTGCTCATTTGGATTTTAAATTGGCGCGCCACAGGCAATTGTTCGAAAGAAAGACAAACGTATGGAGGACTCGATGGCGTTAACTGCTTTACTGACGGACCAAAGTACCTGTGAAGTAACTCCTTGGACAATGTAGCGTTTCGTCGAAGCATTCATACATGCTCAGTACAGTATGAAATGTGTAGATATTGTGCTAGTTCGTAACCGATAAAAAAAGATATCGCTTCTTTTTTTTGCGGTCAAGCTTGTCATATTGAGCAACATCGGTTAAATAGATCCGTAATTAACATTTGCTTCGTTACGTAAATTGCAGATCGTTTTGACATGGAAGCAATATTTACTGAAACCTATCTTTGGTAAAAACAAATCATTAAAAAATTTCTAGATTCGAATAAGTCCTTTTCCTTAATTCGACTTTAAGCTCGAGCATACGGGACCTTGTTGATTTTTCCGAAATGCGAAAAGCAAACATGTCATAAGAAATTTATTTTAAAGTACGCTGTTTTAGGCTTTTAGAAACAATGAATGAAATGCTTCCGCGAAGTTCGACAAGTTTTTTTTTATACAGTAAATACTATTCGGCCAGCATAATAACCGAAGTCCAGCTCTTTTTCAGATGTGAACATGAATCTGGCCAATCTTGCTATGCTTTATTTAACTGTTTACAGGCCTGTTTATCGTTCACCCCCGCAAATGGCGCCAAATTTTGAATACTGTACACACGATTTCAAGCTATAGGTCTACTTTAATTTTCTTGAATTCACGTCCTTCCTTCAGAGGCTCTAAGGCGTTACTAGAGGCTCAAACCGTACGATCGTCATCCAAGAAAACTGAAATAATAATTAGGAAAATACATATAAAAATTATATATTTGTCAAATTATTGTAAAGAGATGCATAACCAATTATGAGCTTCGTTTGCCAGAAGTATTGGGTCATCCGTACTGAACAGTTTTAGATATTTACTAGCCCATCAATTTATTCAACGAAAATCATTTTACCGATATGGCGATTTGCCGTAATTTTAGATGACTTCAGTGGCTCGTGGAACGAGTTAGCATTGAAAAGTCCATGCCTCGAGTTGCAGGGTACGCAGGGAATCCTCGAGTCGTTTACGCCAGTCTTCTACAAAACGCACATACCCTATCATCCGTCGAGGTTCAATCCCAACTCGAAATATATTTGGGTGTTGCGAAACCCTCGCGATGTATGCGTTTCAAGCTACTGTTTGTACAGCGACCTACATAAGCTGCCATGGCGCAAAAGGTTAATGGTAGAATTCGTATTTATAGCTCTTATGATTTTCCGATACAAAATACCTTTACTGCTACCGGTGCAGGGTGTCATTTCATACCGTACTTGACCAGATATCCACTGCTTCAAAACCTATTTATTTGTATGTCAAGAGTCGCGGTTTTACAGGTAGCACAATCCCTTTGAGGTATCTGCCCACATTTTGATAACAATGTTAGTTAGCCTTATTTCAGGACTAAGATAGATTTAGTTGAAACGATCAAACTAGTCTATTGCTACAGAAGTGAGGAATCGCGAGTGCGAATAGTCCAGCTTGTCGCTTTCGAAGTTATTCCAAAAGTGGATCTTAGGCCAACCCAATATTTAAGGTTAGTCAAATAGTTAAGTTCTACATATTGTTGAGGTTAAAGTCGACAACAGCTAAATTAGTATAATTTTTATTCTTCTGGTTAGGTATTCATTTGAAGCGTATACTGAGCACTTCTGCTCTGGGAACGTATATTACGGAGGCTATTGGGAACATCTTCGGAGTTGGTGGCAGGTTAAGGACGAGCCTAACGTTCTCATGCTAGTCTACGAAAAGATGAAACGAAATCCCAAAGGAACAATTATTGCTATTGGGGAATTTCTCGGCGAAAACGCTGCAGAGCTTGTCAAAGACGAACAGGTAAGCGTGTCATAGTCACGTGTCAAATCTACGGATAAGGCACCAGAAATCGACCACATAGACAGACGTCACTTTTTCGTCAACCCATAAAGATGAAAAGGTCTTGCATAAATAGTTGCTAATTTCGAAGATGACATCATATTTTTGGAAAGCGACCCGATAGATGAAGTAGAATACAAATTTTATAATGGGAAGGGCCTGACTGTACCTGAGTTTTTTTTTTTTTTTTTTTTTTAGAACAATATATCTACTAGGCTATTCTTCGTTTTATCAATTTAACGAATAGTACCACACATAAGGGGCATATTGGCTTGGTTTAATACATTCTTAACCTATTGCTTATTAGGTTCGCTCCACGCACACTCGGAATAAGCGCACACTTGTACGCACATTATATATATAATATTATATGTGCTAAATTTTATGTTAAGTAATACTAATAGCAGGGGCAGGTATTATAGGCATATGTTATCCCTGGCGAAATGTTTATCGACAATATCGATAAGTAATTAAAACTCGGAACTGTTAGAGACACAGTATTTGCTTTAAATAATGGATTCTTCTGCTTGCATTTACCAACAATAGCAATCCACAATCAAACTTTTAACGTGTGGCTTTGAAACGTAACGTATGTTCGTGCGGAACTTTAGCCTGCGTTATTATTTGATCGTGTCGTATGCTAGCGCGCATAAGTTGTCAGAATTATTCCATGGATATTGAATAATGGAAATCACATTTTCCAGGCGTAAGTTTTCCATCAAAGGACAAAATCAGCCAAGAAATAAAGATCAGACACTTTAGAACCGTTTCCAATTTGTAAATATCAAATTTTATCAGGATCGCATCAGATTTACAATTACATTTGAATTACATGAATATTTTTTAGAAGGGAGGAGAAAAGGAACACACGTTAATCTATCGTCAACTCGTCGTCAATTATCTTTAACACATCGCGGTAATTTAACATGACGACGAACTATCTTAAAGACTTACTAGCACATTTTGGGTCACCCCGATCCCGCGCCGTATTACCCGCGTGCACTTTTTGCCGGGGGGCAGGATTCTGGTATATCCGGTCTGCCAAGTGTGCCTCGCGTTTCAATTGACACCGTTATATAGATTCAGCTCCTTTTGGAAGATTCTTAGGTATTTATCATCCTTTGAATGTCCGGTTGGAAAGTTATAGGCTTTTTTGTTAAATTGTTTGTTAAATTTTTCAATTAAATAAATAAATAAAAAACAATTCATTATTAAAGTATAAGGACAATCTGTAGAGGAAATATGTAGCAGTTGCGCCGATACGAGTGCGTCGTTTCTACAGTAGGTAAAAACAAAAAGAAGAAAAAAAAGAGGTGAGCAAATCGTCCGAGTCAAGGAACCGGTTATATCAAAAATGGACGAAGTAGTGAGCCAAGCTGCAAGACTATGTACTGAGACTGAGCATTTGACATACTCTGAAGGGCCCGAGTAAAAGACCAGGGTCTTGGCGACAGCAGCAGATATCTACTGTTTGTCGTACAAGCGTCTGTTCAGGATTACTTGTAGACCTGTAGAAGTTTATTAGTAATCCTGAAAACCTGAAACCAGGTTCAATTCAGTAATCTCTTTTTCGGGTGCGCTGTGAGCAGCAAAGCGATGTGAGTAAAGAACAAATTTTCCCTAGTTTCTGCTCTTCTAATCGAGCAGTTTGCGTGAAAAGTATTATTTTACGTGGGAGAATATGATCCGTGGGTGAGAGGAGAAGATGGAGGTCTGAATGTATTTGCCCAGAACTCGCCCAGAACGCGTCGGGTTTCAGTTTAAGGTGAAGGCGTACCTTTCATGTACTAGCAAACTATAGTGTCGCTACTTATTCTATGGCCCTTCCGAGGCTTGCGCGATCGTATGCAGCGACCACCGGACACGAACTATTAAAACCAGACCGTGGCCAATGTCAGTCAGATTGCATAGTACGTCAAGCTTCTTTATTAGCTGTGATATGCCGAATTATATACAAGCTAAGTATCCTGGCGCTAATGCCATTCAGGTCTAGCTTCTTCGCGAGACAGAACAAAGTAGCCGTGTCAGATGTAGAGCTTTGTGATGGAGTAGATGTTCCTGTTGACGCTTCTATTCTATGTTTGATCCGAGAACTTACTATGTAAGAAGAAATTGAACTTCTATAAGATGGATTTATCTATTTTCTGTTTATTTTGAAAGATAAGGTCTTGAATGATATTTTTTTCTTCAATAGTCATAGATGGTTTACTAGGAGAAATGATAATTAATTTTCCTAATGTAAATAATCAGTATTTAATATTTTTTATATATATATTTTATTTATGTGTGCTTCTACGAAAGATATGTAAGTAACAATAAGAGTAGCATTATCTATTTGATTACCAATTATAGTTTTTGGTTGGTTCAGTTTTTCCAGATAGATATTTGCGCATTCAGTTCCATTAGGAATACCTATTTTTAGCGTCATTTATAGTACTAATTTATAGTATTAAGAGGTTTAATGTGTCCAATAACATTAGCAGTACGATTAGCGGCTAATATAATTGCAGGACATTTTAGGGAGTAGATGTTTCTGTTCTGATTCAACGAGAACATTCAACCGCGGTTGCAGATTGGTCATGTCCCGTCACTCTGAAAACACTCGTCACACATTCACATACAAGGTTTACCCGTCACACTAAAGAGACAGCCTTACACGCAGGACTCTATGCTTCCTTATTAGCCCCCACACGCAGGATTATTACTAGTTTCATATTAGTTCCAAAATATATACATTAGTCAAAAAAAAACAGCATATCCACAGATCGGGAAAAAGGTGGGCCAATGCGAAAGTTGCCGAAGCTCAAGATTTAAAGGGCCGAGGGCATCTATTACGATATCTGCTCCCATTCAAGCAGGCCTTCGAGAAAGAACTAGGTCAGAACGTGGACGTAAGGCACATACGTGAGTAGCACGGCAGGCTAATAATATAATTAACATTTTGTGTAGCTATTGCCATGTACGGACGTTAACGCCAATAAGTAAAGTAAATATATACCAGATGTGGTGGTAGTCGTACGCCATAACTATCATAGTAATCGTATTCGCGATTCTTAAAGCTACCTAAACGGTCTAATAGGTAATCTAGTACACGGTATTTAGTTTCAGTGTTCAACCCTTCATGATTTTAGGCAGCTGAAAACGTTAGAAGTTGCACAGCTGAAATGTAGAGTATCTGTGAGTTTGACATAGCTTACACAATTGCTTATTATATATTTCTGTTTGTGCTAGCTGCTGGACGCTTTAATAAAGTGTACTTCCGTTAAAGCTACACGTCGGGAAGCAAATGCAAATTTCGTACGCAGTCTCTTACGTTTCAACAAGCTCGACATCTCGTTAACGAAAGAGCTTTTAAGACCACGACGCGCGGTGTGGAAGATCTTCGGGGGTGAAGTGAGTTTCGTACGCAAAGGTGTCGTAGGCGATTGGAAAAACCACTTTACGCCGCAAGTCAGTATATAGTTGAGGTTCAATATTACCGATTATATGAGAGATTTTTTTATTTGAAATCTGCAGATCTCTCTATTTGGTATTCTATCAATATATTCATTATAACCGCTTACTAGCCAAGTAGGATGAGTTCGATTAGATTTTCGGGTTCCCATGACGCTGCGTCATAGATCAAGATGATACGATCGTTCGACGTTCTTGAAAAACGTGTTTTTCTCATTGTCAACAAGATGGAGGCAACCCCTCTTAATAAATTTACCCAAATCGTCTTCATAGCTCGAAAACAAACTCAAAAATCTGATATAACCCAATACTACATTTAGCACTATTTACAATACCGTTTTATAGCAATTGAATATCATTATTTTTTGTATACATTTTAAGGTTGCCTATTATCTTAAACTATAATCATATAGATCTGATAAAATCTAATGGTGTAATTTTGTTTACAAACGAGCTCCTACAATATCATCTACATTCACAACGACTGTCGCCGCCTAGTCTACCTATAAACATATAGTTTACGTGGACAGAGAGGTTAGCGATTATTTTCTGTTCGATATGAGAACAACGTTGTTATAATTAAGCGTACAAACAAAGCCATATCTTTTTTTCTTCGATTTGTGGAGTGAGCCCATCCCTACGCTGATTTCAGTGTATAGAAGAGTGAAGAGGTCGACTGCAAACTTTTACAACAAGGGAAAAGGAGTAACTTTTTGGTTGAAGGGCAAGCGATGACTACGTTTGTCTGGCAAATAAGGTCTTTGTACTTTTCTGGTTTTACGTCGTGCTCTCACTGTCTGCGATACCTTTTAGCTCTCAGCGGTTGTGCAACGCAGCCCAACGTTATAACAAGTACTGTCCATCCAATCCCAAACCACGTAGCCATTATGAGTACGTAATCATGTCAGCTGTATCGTTGAAAAAAGATAAAAGCAATGCAATGCCTTAATACTGCCACATACACAATTCGCTGGCTTGTATTGAAATTGTATAGAATACATGTATGTACATCTTTATATATATGTATAGCTTGTTATTGGCTGCACTGGAAATAGAAATTATTTGTTTCTTTCAATCAGGGCCTGGGCCATATGAGCTCTGTAGGAAGCATTTTTAGAGACTCTGCGCAAAGCAAGCAGATCTTTTTGGCGACACACAAGTTCTAAACAGAGACTGAATTACGCCGCTATGTCCCTTAAACTATAGGCTTATCTCGGCTTTGTAAAGTTAAATCTTTTGCGACAGCAAAATGGGACGGAACTGCCACGTTTTTCCCGCCGTACCCGCTCTTTGTACCAGCAGCAGCAGCAGCAGCAACTGAGGACGTCAATCATTAAAAACAGGTTGCGCTATTAGCAACAGGCCACATTAGGTACCACATTACATTAAAAATGGCAAAGAAGAAGTATTATTTAGCAAACGAGGCTCGAACAAAATAAGTTTATCTGTCCAAGCGTTGTTGCGAACTAAGCGCATTTCCGAGGTAAATACCTTCAGTTGTGATTTTTTCCTAAAAACTAATAACAATGAAGAAAAAAAAACGTTGCGTTACCTGATACGGCAGGTTGATGAACAAGCAATAACTTGAGTCAAGCAGCACTCAATGGCAACGATGTTTGGAACTAAATTTTTTCATACAGAAGCAACGACTGTTAGTATATACTATTTGCTATTGAAAAATGCATATATACCGATTTTGATTTACCCCGTTTGTTTCAGGTAGAAGAAGTGTTTAATCAGTGGATTCAGAAGCAGGAAGACCACGAAGATGTTATGGCTTTATTTGAATAACTCCTTTAGCCCGCGACGGCCACTATTGAAAGCTTCGCGGCTTGCGTAGCTAAATATCGCTCTAACAACGATTCATTACTCTCATAATATTTTTATATAATTTTCACGCAGATTTATCTACCTGTACATCGATATGTACAGACGGAGTTGTGTGATTGCAGAATAAAAGCCAAGCACGCACTTGCTATCGATTTATAATTACAGCATATATTTGCTAAGTGTAAGGCTAGCGATAGCTTCACAAAAATTTTATCAAGCAGTTTCTTTGGGATGACTATAAGATCATATTGATAAGGTTAAGCAGCTAACAGGAGGGTTGAATATCAAGCGTGAAAGGCGCACGTTACACATGAATTCCTTTTAAATTACTTGCTTTGGCGTCACAATTCAGCCTTTAAAGTTAGACATTTATTCCGACAAGAGCGGATTGCTTGTTTTGTCCTACCGAGAAGCAGGTTTCTATATTCGCCTACCGCTCGAATCCAACACAGCGAAATATCTAGTGAAATTAAATAAATGACAAGCCGACATCGCCCACCAATATGTCATGTAGTGATCTCGACGAAATGCGTCAAGACTGCATTCATTTGTATTTATACGGAAGTGAAGACACGTCTTTTTAGCGGTCTGTAGTAGATACGTTAAGGCGACGTATACACGTTTAATAATAGAATGTTTGCCTAGACGGCTTAATCGAAGCGGAGGCGTATATTCCAGGCACTACTCTGCAGACAAGAACGTGTCCCTTCGTGCGTCGCAGATCTTAATAATTGACTTACCAAAAGAAAATTGGAAGATTCTGAGAAAACCGTCGGCACAATTTTTGAAACAGGAAATGAAGGAATGAAGGGAATGAAGCTTTTGTAGCGCGTCACTTCGCACAGAATGACTTTGAAAATGATTTGATAACCGCATAGCTCGAAGGCCATAAGTCCAAACAAAAGTCATTCTCTGTTCAATGTTGCTTCGATTTCAAGTAAAGGTCTTTAGAATTCACACCCGTCTGTTTTATTCAAAGTCTACGCATGCGTCACCGCAATGGCAACACTGGCGTTTCTGTCCATCTGTTCGTATCACATGAGTATGATACGGTGAGAGTTTTGCCGAGATAGAGACGAGTAAAGTGATTCATTTCCTTAAAACGAGACTCGCTTTGGTTTTTTCTTTCTACACGAAGTACACATAGTCATACAGACAGCTTGTCACTCGAAAGACGGTTTTTAACATTGATTGCCAAATGAGAGTGCTAGAAAGCACTAGAAACATAAAGATGTATCTGTTGTACCTCAGATATTTCAGTAGCCCTTAATCATTGAGCAATTGACGGTACATGCTTACAACGAGTTATCTCTCTATGGAGTAAGCAAAGCAGTTAAGACATTTGCCTCTAATATGTTATTGCTACATAGCTATTTCCGATAGCTCTGCCTTTCACCTCGTCGATTCTTTTAGTCGTTACTATGTATCAATTTGTCAGTAGGAAAATCTTAGAACACTGACTAAAGCATTTGTGGGACGTCACGGGTTCGCATTCCACACTCAGACAGGGCAGAGCGGCTGTTCTTACATGCTATGTTATTACTAACAATTTTTTTTGTCTTTTTAATGGCCAAGCACTCAGGCATTGTCTCGCTCTATATATATACATATATATATATATGTATATACTATAGGCTTTTATTCAGTCATATACCGAAAAAAAATCTTTGTAGCAGCAAACATTAAAACTAGTGTAGCATCCGACACCGATGAGATAATTACAGCTGCCTATCGTAAATGCGTAAAAAATTTTTTTTACTCCAAATTTTAAACTTTGTACAGACTCTCCAGGTGCGGGACCCTGCTAAGCATTTTAGCTTTATCATAGTAGAATCTAGTGAGGTTAACGATGAAGTTGCGAGACCTACTTCAATCATCCTGCTTGCATCCAGATTGCATTTGTCGGAGAACTGTTTGCCTCATTGCGTCCATCACGGTCAGATGCCTCTTCTAAACGTTACTGATGCTTTCTAAATATGCCAAATGACATGCTAACTCGCCGCATTAAACAAATCGCCAAATTATATATATATATATATATATATATATATATATACGCAATGGGCGCTTTTAAAAAAGGACAAATAAACCTTGAAAGATTAATTTCTTGAGTAGTTAACTTTTGATATAACGATAGTTAGGTTCTCCATTCTTATGGAGAATCAAATGGGCACAACGATCGAAAATATAAAATGATTTTAACTAGAGATTTCATTTTAATTCACACTCTTGATCCTGAATGGCGTTCTTTCGACATAAATTATCTTTATTTTTACCGCTCGTATCAATGCGTTTGCCACATTTCCCACGCACAAATATAAATTATTCTCACTTTGTGCAGGCGCCATTCTACGTTTTACACGATAAATGCTGTATATTTGTTTATTCAAAGACGTATACCTATTTGGTTTAATAGTACGTTTTCAATTTTCAGAAATTCGTGTCTAAAAACGTTTAGCACGTATGAAATTAATCACCTACCAAGCATCATTTGTAGTTCAGCTCTATTATCACAATATAGGGCGGCTTCTTAACCTATCCTGCTGAGATGGTGTCAGTGTGCCCCCTGCCTCAACAAAAAGCGTGACATTCAGCATCATTTTGGCTGGACCTGCCCATGTTATAAACGGACCGTGATTTAAGCCCACCTTCAAAAAGTTTGTGGATATCCGCAGGTTCGAACTCGATATGCCAAACTGGCAGTAGTGTTATCTATGGACCCTACCCAAGTAGATTAGCTGAATCTAGATGTCGAGGCTATTGATGGTGGTTCAACCAGGATAGGTTGTGGAAATCAATATTGCCTTTTCTTGCTACGTCATCTACATCTAAATGATTCTGTATATAAAACAACTCTCAGTGTGTAAGCAAATTCTTTTAGAAGTTCCGATGGAAGACATGATTGGATTGGATAAAAAAAAAAAACGCATAAACCATCAAGTTACGCTGGAGTCTGCTGTCGAGGAAATATCTGTTAGGCTTTCAGAAGCTACGGTACCTGTCAAAGTAGCCCATTCCTCTAACTCAACGGAAGTTATATTTTTCAGGATATGTATTGATCAAGTGACTTCACCATGAGGCGAAAATTTGTTTCACTATATATAGATGACTGAAGCGTTCGCTAGATCATGTTTTCGCACAAATTTTAATACATTTTTACTATTTTCTGAGAATGATTAAGTATACAAAAAGATTCTGTGTGTGACTATCGCCTCGGCAGGTAGCTCTTGTTCATGTAGTAAAATTCGTCAGCTTACTGTTAAGAATTTGCACACTATCTCAACAGTGGACATGTCCAAGTTTCAGCTCATTTTTGATATACGTATCGTCTGTTCGTCCTGGGGAATATCCGGAAAAGCGATGATGTCTTTAGTTTTAAGGCCCTACGCAATGAACCTATATATAAGCAGGCCTACGTCACTTACTCAGTGTTGTTCTAAGCTGTAGTTTACCTTGGCTTAACACAGACGTGTTGGAAAGCTGTAAAAAGCCTCTCTCTATCCGAGCGTGCACTGCTGACGGCCTCTGGCTTGGTCATCTATTAGCGGGAGTTCTTGTTTAGCAAAAAAGTGATGACAAAGATAAGGCAGAAGGCAATCTCACCGCTTAAGCAAGACCATTAGTATAGGTTGGTCGGGTATTGGGCCTTTGTGGGTGTAAAGGACCGACACGGTTCTCGTGGAAATTATTTACGATACTGCTGCCTTCTGTTGTCCTATAGAAAGCTATTCTATTTTATTATGTACTGTTACGTCGTAAGATTCCGTTATTTTGTGGACTAGCGCATCGAAAAGTTACGCTAGTACTGCAAGTTAGTCTTAACTGATGCTTCTCTTTCGACTGGCACTCGCACATGCCCATATATACTAAAAGGCCAATCAGTGATGCTGGCAGAGCTGGCACTACCCGTCATAAATAGGTTACAATGAACATAGACTGCATAGTTTATCGAAAAATAATCGTTCTAAACCAGAACAAGTAGACAGATTCTCCTCCACAAACCGAGACGTGTTAGCGGATGGCGTAATGGTTATTCCTTAGTCTTAGAGTGCTAATTGGAATAACTATCGCCCAGTGCAGAATTCGAAGACGCACCAGAATAGGCCTTGGCTAGGATTGTAAAGCGGCCGCCGAGATTGCCAGGTCATTGAGGCGGATAACACGGTAACCAGTGAATGAACTAAACGTTAAAAAACAATTTCATACCTAACTATCTCCACTAAACGAAACGTCTTTAAGGAAATACCTCGAAGTGTTTGAGACGTGTATCTTGACATTAAATAAAATAAACACCTTATTAATATAGTCAGTTAGTTTTCAAGCATAGACATAATTTATCTAATCGAAGGAAGCATCATAGACAGGTGCGAGTTACCCAAAAACGAGCTTTGCATCTTTATTACTGAGAACGCTCGTGTTGATACTATGTTTGTGGTCAATAATTTCATCGATGGAAAATTTGAGCCTACTCAGGAGTATTTGGACAACGTTGATCCGGCTACTGGTCAAGTAAGTCTGGAGATAGCTTACCATTGAGAAATTAAGGTTAGTATGGTCAGGTAAAAAAAAGTTTACGGCTTAAGGTAGCATTTACTTACGTTGAATATGCGGAGGAGATTCTGTGTTCATCTGTTTTGCTGTATCGCTGCTTTTAGCTTAAAGGATCCAATTTAGTTGTTTTGTTGCTATTTTTCAGACCGCTTTTGCGTTTGCGATGATTCATATACATACGATGTAACCGATACTTTTCTAGATTTCTTTATAAACTGCCAAATTGAACATATATTGGGTACACAGTACCCGTGCACTGTACGCGCGCAGTTTGTTACATTATCACGACTTCTGCAGTCTTAGGAGGATCAACATTGCTCTTGGTCTTGCTAACGTGCATTTAGACAGGTAGAGAATAGCCAGGAACACCGTATCGCTGCTACAGTCGAAAGAGGCCTGGCGTCATCCAGAGCTTGTCATAGTTGGAATAGACAGCTGGCTACAGGGTCCCGTTTTTTTCACAGCCCAGGATAAGACCATTGCAGAGCAGAATATGATCGTGACGCAGTACCGGCTGTGCTTCACCATTACCATTCCAGGCTAGGCTGTCTTCCCACGTTTGCCCTATGAAAAAGACTATGGTGCAATCCCGAATGCCGGATGTATACGAGGCATTTTTACCCTGTATATAAGAAGAAATTGGCAGTGCCACGTGTCGTACACTTTGATATGCGCAAGATCTGCTTGTTTATATAGTCGGTAAAGAAGAACTATATTTCTCTTTCATTTAGCCGCCACTAAATCCGGTTATTGCTTGTCGAACCTATGAAAACCATAATTTTTTTAAGGTTTATTCGACGCGCAAACCTACTGCAGTTAGGCAAGAAGGGAATAGCATTAAAACAGAGAGGGTTATGATTCATGAAAAGAAATAAGCCGAATTATGTTGTCAGTTTATCCAGTTTGCATGGGTCTGCAAGTCGCTTAGCTATGCATGCATTGTCTAGCGCTTCCTATACAGTGTAATTATTTGAATATATGGCGCGCATCTCACTAGATCGCTGACGTCAAATATCCTTCGTGTTCTAAGGTATATTCGAAGGTTGCAAGCTCTACCTGTAAAGACGTTTGGACGGCGGTTGCGGTGGCACAGCGCGCACAGCCTTTATGGCAACGTAAAACGGTATCAGAACGAGCCGCTGTGCTAAGGCGAGTTGCCGATCTTCTCGAAGAACGTCTCGAAGGTATAAATGAGAAAATGTTATGTGTAACTTTAGGACGTCCAATGCCCATATCCGTACCCATCAGTTCTTGAGGATATTTCATTTGCTCGTTAGCTGTGTTTCTGCGAAAAACTCACGTTATACATAGACGTATTATTTTGATCGTAATAATGTAAGTGGCAGGTATTTTAGATAGCTTTCCTTAGTGAATTGTTTCCATTGGACGACGTATTCCGCTATCTGGGACCCTTGAGGATATCACAAGTTAAGCGAAGTAAATATAAATTTACTTTACTACGGAATACTATAATAATAATAATTGAATATATATTTTGATACTCTATCTAATTCAGTTTTTTCACTGGCTTATTATTTTCGTTGGTAGATGGTCGCAGATGGCGTTGTCATTTGCATTTACGTCTATGACGCGAGTGATGGTAAATTATTTTATCCCAAACGTGTAGGTTAAATGGGAAAAGACGACTTAATCAAAAAACGTTAAGTAATCCCTATTATTATTATTATTATTATTAATGAGGATGATTATTTTACACTTTTGCTTGCAGAGTTTGCTGTGGCAGAATCACGGGATCAGGGAAAGCCCGTGTGGCTTGCTCAGGATGTCGATATTCCTAGAGCTATTCACAACTTTAGACATTTTGCCGACAATGCTGTTAATGATCGTGAATTGTAGGTAGATTGCCGAGTTATTGTTATTATTGGCGTGATCATGTTGGATAACTCGAACACGATTTAGACGTTGGGGAAAGACAGAAAGAAGTTCACAGTTCTGCATATAGTGACTTCCGAAAGTGTTTGACTATTTTCTTCCTACAGATACATCAACGGCGTAATAAGATCGAAAAATATAAATTAATTATATTGTTTAAATGGACAATGATTGTGCATTTAAAGAAACGAAACAATCTTCAAATTCAAAAGGATTGTGTCTACGGTGCGCCAAAAAAGTATTCGCTAAGTGTCAAACATCTCGATTTTAACTTTCGATTAGTATGATACAATGATCCCACACACTACGATAGCCACAGCCTAAAACCCATGACGAAGACAAACAAATCAACGCGAGCTCCGCTATATTGTGTATATAAGTTCTGAATCATTACATATGACAGCTAGCCAGCTTTGAGGAAAGGTCTGTTGTGATGTGAGCGTCGGAGAAGGGAAAACCTTTAAAAACGAACGGCCGCCAACGTTTCACGAGGGCACTCAGAAATGTTCTCAAAAGAACGGGTTTGTTTGTGTCAGTTTTCAAATAGTCTGGAAAAGCGAAAGAGGTGACCGAGGTGCGTGTTCGTCGCATTTCGAATTTTTAGGATAGAGCTATATAATAGTGACACAATGTCCCGAAATTTGCTTTGGTTTTTTTCTACTCTTCGTTCAAATAGTTGATTTAAATCAACTGTTCGTGCTTGTTAATCACATTGGCTTATTTTTGATACCGTGATCCACCAACTTTTCGAAACTTACATCAATTTTCCTCTGAAATTTGGGTTGTGTACGCTACGAAGCAACAAAACACAAGTCAATGCTTGGACGATCTGTCTGCTTATTTGTTATAACGGAAAACGCCATTGTGTTATGCTAAACGAACGTTAAAATTGATGGACTTGTACCTTAGTCGGTGGACGAACAATTTAGAAATGCCTGAAACACAAGATTTTCAGATTTTACTGAGATTTTGTGTTGAACTAATAGACCTATAGAACTGTAGTGTACAATGACTGTTTATTGAACAAATGTTTTTTCAAACTTGCGTCGTTTATACGAATCCCTTTGTAAATAGCAGTGTAGTGTATTATCCATTATGGAGCTGTAAGTTTCCCATCAGAAACACTGGATAGCCACGTTGATATGGCTCGGTGCAATGCCGATGGCAACTGATTCACTTAGAGTAACGTTTCGAGTAATAAACTTAGAAACCGACGAAAATCGATAGATAATATTACACACTTGTCTATAATGTATTAATTTAGTTTTAGTTCGAAAGCTTTAGCGGATCAGATACTTTACCCTTTAGCATCAAAAACGATACGGGACAGCCTTTTGTGGTGGCAAGCTTAACGCCAGATTGCAGATGTCACTAAGTAGTTTCGCTTTCTTTATCTGGCAAATGACAATTACATATGGAATAGGTTACCCTCGTTCGGAAGACATTTTAAAGTTTACAGAAATGATTAGTAAAGATTTGATTTCTGTTTGCGACGTACGCAAAATTCTCGAACTCCGTTCTCATATGAAGCTGAATGATTTTTTTTCCGATTTGGCAAACACGTGCGGTAAGCGGGTTCCTAACACCTCACGTACGTTTCGAGTCTTCTTCAAACGACACATTGGAAAGTGGAGTAACACAGATTTGTAGAATAAGCCTCGAGTAAAGGACATAAGCATTTCCCGCTGCAGTAAATAGTGTGCTTTATCTTGGTATAAACAACATTAAGCACGTAATTAGCTCAATAGCATCACGTATCCTGTGAATCAGCGGTTCAACGATCTCAAGGATGACAATTAGTGCACGAATTCAGCCCATTTGAAATGTGCATTTTTTTCCCATAGTAGCTATCCTTGTGTCACGGATATATCTGCTTCATAAACACTGCTGAACTGTCTCAGTTGCTATTCTTGTTTAATGTAAATTTGCTATTTAAACAGGGCCGTTCCCCAGCCTCGTTCGCAACTTCTTCACTACGTATGTCGTTCCCCAGTTGGTGTGGTGGGCATCATCACCCCATGGAATTTGCCTCTGTACCTATTATCCTTTAAGCTTGCGCCAGCTCTCGTGTACGGTAATGCTGTGGTTGCCAAACCTTCGGAGCTAACCTCTGTCACGACTTTTATGCTCGCCAAACTGTTTCTCGAGGCAGGTGAGTATCTAATGAACAGGTTAAGTAATAGGACCTGTCACTCGATTAAAGGTCATTAGCGGAGCCCACGTTAAACAAGCCTTTGTCCAACATGACTACAGTACATTGGATCATTAGGTATGAATTTCTAGCTTATGGAGGAAACTGACAGTTGTTCAGGTTCGGAAAAAGATTATGGATCACACAATTAAAAAGCGTTGGTTCTTAGGATGATGGGTTCCTTCGAAATCTTTTCTTCATATTTAGTGCGGTTTCTAATTTTGTTTGTGTGTAAACGGCTTTTTAATTGTTCGAACAGCCAACGTTTACGCTAAAATTTTATATTAACAAACCGAAAGGGCAGTTACTTCTAACTGGCACAGAAATCGTACTAACAATGCTACCAAGGCCGACCAAAGCGGTTCGGTAACTAAGTAAATAAAACGATTTCGTTAAGCAAATGTTACAGTCCCCGAATAGTCCAGTGATTCTGTATCGTTTAGAATCACTCATGAACTGTGGACGTATCCGTTACCAAGCATAACTTCAATTGTCCATATCTTAGCAGCTTTTAGTTACTATCATACAAATACAATTTTACTCATTGCTTGAATAGGAAAGAAAAAAGAAAGCGTCACTGTGTTCAGTACCCAATCCTTTACGAAATATACCAGTTCTAGTTCTATTACATTCAACGTAAGCGAGAAAAGGACAGCCGCAGAATGCCTTTCAAATAGCTATTCTGTTATGGTAAATATACGAATTTTCTATAAGACGACATTCTATCGTTGAGATTTGATATTCTACTATATGTTATCATATGGCGTTCTCCTGGTATATTTATCTAATCCTAGTAGATACTGTCGAGAAACGCAACTCGACTAGGCTGTAGGAGGTGCGCTTAATCTAGCTCATTCCTTATAGACAGTAAAAAGCGCCTATCAAAACCTAGCAACGGATATTAACAATTCTTTCTCGTTAGGTGTTTGGATCTCCTATATACCATAGACTGTCCACCATTGTCAGCTGTTGTCAGGACACAGACATGCCTGCTGCCGTACCCGTCACAATCACACATACTATGCGCACAAAATACATTGTATCTTGATATTTGCATATGTAACGAACGCGACAAGGATAGACTTGTTGGGCAGCTACGAGGTAAAATTGTCAGACGAATGAAGTAGGATGATTTCTAATTTTTCTTTTTCTTTTTTTCGAGCGAGATTGGAAGGGTGCGCAGCATAGGGTAACGTTGTGTTCATGACAGCAACTTACAGTGAATGAGGCCAAGAACTTTCATTAGATTATTTAATTAGTGGTGGTAGTAAGCAGTGCATGTCATACCCAAACACATTCTGTGGACATCTGAAGACTGCACTATACGTTGATCTTGGATACAGAGAATGTATTTAGCAATCGGAATAAATGGAACAATCATTGATATGTAATATTATTATGTTACGAGTTTTTTGAACCGTTGGTATCGAGCAACCTATGCAAACCTGGCCAGCAACGTTATTGACCCCCCCCCCAACGTGAGTTTTTCCCTCTCATCGACCTGCCTTTAAGACTGGCCATAACCAATATTACGACTACAAATATATAAAACCACATATTAGGCTAGGTCCTCTGGTAAAAGGATGACATCTTCTTCAGAAACCTACTATGTTTTGGCCTAGTAGCTTTGGCGCTGTTTTAGATTTTCGTGAAAATAATGAGGAAAGGGCGACCCAAAGGCTCGTGATGCCCAAGTGAATACACATTTCCGTTTCGACCTGATTTACTATAACCAAGTCCCGTATTTGTATTAAATTACTTTTTCTAGTTTAGTTAGTTCCTAAAGTGTTGAGCCTTTAAAAATGAAAAAAAAATAGCTCAATTAGATGAGTATATTAAATTACGTATTTCAGAACATGTAACTGGGCTCCACATTCAATCGTGCTATCCTCTAAAATAGAAGGCAAAAGAAAGTAGGTCTGGCCGGCCGCCTGCAATATTTACGGATAGATGCAGCCCGAGGGCAAATTACTTAAGTTACCGAATCAGCTAAACTTAACAGAATGCATTCTCTTGAGCCAACGGCCAATACAGGCTGCTGGCACGGGGAGCTTATCTGATACATCAAAGTAACTTCGGCCCTGTATTATTGACAGGCCGGCCTTTGAGGTATATGTTCTTCTCGTAGATGCACGTTTACAAACGATGCTGATGGATTTTGCCGAAGGCAACGGAACATAATGGTGACCAAGGCACCAATTGTTCGCTGTTCTCTGAGCGATGCCGCAGCGGTCAGGATGACGGACTGACAGCAGACTACATCGCACAAAATATACGGCGTTATTTCTAAAAATTTGCTTAAACCATTTATTCCATTATTATGTAGCATTAAGCTCCATTAAATGTTTCACCTAATGTTTACGACTAGCTAATACCATGGTTCGCAGTTCTGCTTTTTTGTCAACCAAACTAGTTCGCCTTTAACGACTACTATTTTTTTAGTTTTTCGCTCCGTTCGTTCGCTTTTAGTTGTCTTCGACTCCTCTGTTTTGAGTCCAGACTTGCCGTCGCTTCAGTCAGGGGCAACGGTAGAATTCTCGTTCGATCCACCCTGCTTTTCTATTTGGAGATGAACCAAAACAATCAGTTATGTGTCGTAGCCCAGCTAAACTGGACTAGCCTGAACTAATATTTTTTTTCACTGGTTTCAGCTAGTGCCTGCTGCCCCGTAAAGCAATCGAAAAGGGCTTATAGTCGTGCCGAGTGCTGTTACCCTATTTCTAAATGCGAGGGCCGTTGTGCATAGGGCTTTCAAGGTTGATCCTCTGCCGCCTGCTGCTACTCGTCCTCGATATTTTCGTCGATTCACGTGATAAATGATGCCGACATATGTCATTAGAGGGCTGCACTGTTAGTAACTATGTTAGCAAGAACAGTATTGTTTCGTAGGCGCTGAACGGCCTTTGTAAGCGCTAGGAGCCGGGACCTATTGAACACGTCGCTGTTAGCCTTAATGAAACAGCGTCTTGTATGTTAACATAAGACAGTAGATACGGGTATTATTGTTGTATGGCTTCGCTCGCTAGAGGGCGCATTAGGGTTCAGCCCGGGGTATTGTCCTGTAGGTTAATAGCTGTTAACGTTTAGCGTACGTACATTTCTACTTTCGTCCAGCGCCAACTTTTTTTTTCTAGACGCATGCCTTCTGTCCTGTATTCCTGTTATAGCCAGGTTTTTCACCCTGGAGTTATACCCGATTAATGATGAAAAGACGACCGCTGGTGCTAAACAGAATCTAGCCATACCTACGGGGCAATCAAAAAGTCGCCGTATACAATAGTTTTTAATAAATTAAAGCGACATATGTTCCTCCGTTGAACGTTATTTGCTTTATAGAGTCTCACCAGCTTGGCTGGCTGTAGCGACCTAAAGATATGCGAAATCGATGTATAGATAGGTCGAAATGGGAAACATCAACAGTATTGGTTGATTTATTGCGCAACAAGATTGTAATTACCCTATATTAGAGCGGTTATGAAAGCACTACGCCTATTTCGAATCATTCGAACTTAGAAGATCCTATACATACGTATAGTCCGTAGAGGTATGGAGTCAATTCGACATGATATCTTGTAGTAATGCTATGTTGTACATTAGCCTACGCCTACCGTTCATCCTAATGGACTCGAATGGAGGACCGGAAGGGTAACATTTTGTACATATTAAACAATACAATAGATGATAGTAAGCATCAAAAGTAAACATCTTGTTTACCAGATTAAAGCTATGTTAATGGTCGTGGCCGGTTACGAGCATCGACCCCTCAGAGGTAGTGGAACAAATATGGGTCTTTTCAATCCACATAGGGTTTTTCTGAAAACTGTCTGCAGCTATGGTCTATCAGAGTCCTAATAAAATCGCATCAAGGTTTGCCACGAAATACTTACTAAGTGGTTTATGCAAGTCTTCAATAGAAACACATGTGCATTGTTTAAAATCTCGGCTGATGTAGAAATATGCGCGAGCAAAAAAAAAAACGACAGTACTATAACTTTTTAAATAATAAATATCATAACTTTTTAGGTAGCTTAGTTGCCGATACTTGTTCAGAAATAAAATTTTAAGTCTTGCAACCGAAGGCTGAGTAGGCGCTGCATCAGACGGCTATTTTCCACCCCAAAGCGTGACGAGGAAACAAGCATATCTTTGCCGAGAATCTTAAAATCCCCAAAATAGCAGACAATCTATCATAACGAGACCTCGGCTTTTTTGGAGTTTCTCGGTTTTTTTTTGGAGGTCTCTACATAAACATCGCCAGCCACACATAAGCACTGAATTTTTGTCGATTCTGAGCAAAGCTCACTTGTGCTCGTTAAGCTACTCCACGTTAAATCCACGTTAAATCGTATAAAATAGAATTTTTAAACACTCTAAAAGGTTTCGTCCGAGCAAAAAAAGGCGCCTACCTGTTTAGAAAAATGACATAATCTATATCATACAAAATCGGGCTGTGCTTTGTTGACGTTTGGCCAGATTCATGGAGTTTTTACAGTAGTGCAACATATATAAAAGCAGATAATTCTTTATGCGAAAAATGACATCAAAGGTATCGATTATCTTCTATTGAAAATTGCCGAAAGGAGTGCAATATTAACTTTGAATATTAACTATTTCAGTTTGGTATTTCGACTCTAAAACGTACGAGGTTGTACCTTTCTAGGCCCCATTCCATTAGCTCATTATTTGGCCAAAGTAAGCAAACCAATATCTTTCATTTTAACGGAAGCCAGTTTGCTCCACATTTAGATGCGCACTGCGTGTATACAGAGGCCTTGGTAGCTACAAAGAACACACCAACTAAAATAAGCTTTTTCGACACAGACGCGGGAAGGTTACAGGCTTCACTCATGCGGGGATAGCCTCGACGTTATACAAATGGATTCGTTTACGATAAAACAAAGATACATACATAATGCTTTCAATACCGGGGTTCTCCTTACAATTACGAAATCCGAACTGTCCAGGCCCAACATATTGAACCAAGGATAACGTTTAGGCCAAAATGTTGACTAAAGGAAGCTGACGGCACCGAGGAATTTTTTGAGACCGTGTTTTTCATACATCTGATAACTTAATCTTAGATTAAATTATCATGGTCGTAGTTGGACATAGTTACATATGTAGAACGTAGTTTTTTTTTCTAATAAAAAAAAAACACTAATTTGACGTGAAATGAATTATATACATATGCATCATTGCATATCTAAACGGTGTATATGTTTCTATCTATCTGTGTTCCATATTGTTTTTTGGTGACTATGGTTCGTGCTATATTCGCCTCACTAGAGCACCGGATATTTGGCGGTACCTGTTGTGGCTATGTGCAATGTTTTTTCTCGTTATTATTATCTTAATATTGGATGGTCTAATGTAAATGGTTTAATTTTGCTACGTTCATGGCTGTAAGTATCCTATTGAACTGTTTAGCAGTAACGTTGCTACGGATTCTCAGATCTTGTTTTTATGAGTTGCATCGAAAACTATGATATTCTATTCCGTACCTTGGAAGGCCTTATTCTACTTGTGGCTGTAGCTCTACTAATTGGGTGCCTCTAATTATTAATGTGTGCATTCATGTAACTTAACTGTCAGGTTTTTGGCCGACTTTAACTTTAAAGTTAATCAATAATATTCGCAGATCAATATATCCTCCATAGCAGTAGTTCCGTTCTTTTATCGAGCGTTTTGCAGTCCTGTTTTAAAATAAATATTTTGTCCGCTAGTTGCTCTAGAACACTGGAACAGGTAGTTCACGGTATTTCAAACTTTATTGAAGTATAATTCTGCGTGCGGCTTTTCCTGTTGCCAGAAATGTTGATTTGCCTATGTTTGCTAAGCCCTTCGTCGATCGTCTGTTTTATCGTCAATCTTTTTTAAAGCACTAAATTGGCAGCGATAAAAAAGATAAGTGAATATTTTATAAAAGAAACATAGTATGGTAAACACGTACCGTTTGTTCTTACCGTCGATGAGATAATAGTACAAATTTCTCTGATAAATATCAGATCGCTAAGACAGTAACTTCAATATTGTATTTGCTTCGTTCTGTACTTATAGGTCTTCCAAATGGGGTCTGCAATTTCGTATTCGGCTTAGGCGACCCTGTTGGAGAAGCTCTCTGCAGTCATCCAAAAATACGTGCCATTTCTTTCACGGGGAGCACTCGGACAGGTACTCGCATCTCAGAAATAGCCGCTCCCTTGGCAAAGAAGTGCTCGCTAGAGGTAAATGGTGTTTTACTTTTTTAAGGCTACTTTCGCTCGTGCGCAGTCTTCTTTTGGGTGTTCTATTAATATTACGAAAATTTAATTAAAAAAAAAAAAAGTTCAATATCAGAAACGTATTTCAAATGAATTAATCCCTGTAAACGAATATTAACATGCAAGGACTTTTCGTCATCGGGTGCAACCACCTTACAATAGTCGTTCAACAGGATCGATGTAATCGAAAGTCCCACGTATAAGTAAGCGTTTGGTGCTACCACCATATTAGAAAATTCACGAAAGTCCTCATCATCTATTTTTAGGATAGAATTTTTTGGATTTCCTATGCTTAATTACTCGACTGAAGCGTTATAAATTACAGTGACACGCCCAGCGTTCCTCTTCTCTTCAATAAGAATTGTCATGTACGCTATTGCTTCAAAAATCTAACAACTTTATACTTTTACGAACATGACCTTTGCTTGATGCGGATCCGTCCAATTGCAAAAGCAGGACACATACTGTAAACGATTGACTAATGGGTGAACTAGACGTTTTGAGGTTGAACTTGTATTAAGGTAAGTTGGCGTGCTCCTGTTTAGAAGATCTCCGCTTTATCGAGCGGAAGAAAGACACAGTGAGATTGCCTCAGGTGGTTCAACACTCGAAATTCTGGGCAAACTTCAGTCTGCAAGCGGATATGATTTGCTTAGGACCCCAGAATAGGAATACGACTGATTGTGCCGATTCTTTCGAGAAAAAATTCTAGGTAGCGGCTCAGTATAACGTTACGTAAGAAGACTAGAAAATTTGTCAATATGATAGGTTTTGATTTATTACAAAGAGTGCTTATTTATAACTATACAATAATTATACGCAATAGAATATATAAGAGAAATTTGCATTGTGCATTGTGAAAATTTGGATGACAAATTTTATAATGATACCATAATGAGTTCAAAAGAAGGAACGTCTTTTAGTTTCGAAGTGTTTTTTTTTTGTTTTTTTTTCGAAGTTCAGTGTTTAAGACTATAGCGCCACAGCAGTTAATCAAGGATAATTGAACCGTTAAGCAAGATGGCCTCAAACGGGAGTACATTACGTGGATGGTGTAAACGTTTCAAGAACGAATACTGAAGTGTTATGATCAACGACGTAAGTGATTAGACATAGGGACCAGGACGACAAGACTATATTGCCGCAGTCAAAGAAGCTTTTCGCAAAAGCACAACTTGAAGTTTAAGGGCTCTGTCGGCTAAGTCTTACATATAACGTGTAACGATTCTATAATTTAAGTACTGAAAATGCGGAAACTGAGTAATAAATGGGTTTCCCGCGAATTGAGTTTAGGCCAGTTGAAAATATTGAATCGAACCAAGTCCTGGAGAGAAATCGAGTTCGATGACAGTGTAGAATAGGTGTAAACGTAAAATTGATCGTTTCACATTAAGCTACATCAAAGGCATCTACTACTATGAGATGTTCGCCGAAAAGAACGCCCGTTATTTTGAGTTCCTTAGGAGATGCATGGGCTGTTAATACGGTAATTGAAAGCACACAGTCCGGTTACTTGAGGACAATGCCACAGCCCATTGCCATGGCAAAACTATTTTCTGGATTGAAAATAGGAATGTTCTACCTCTTATTCTCCGAAACTATGTGCGATTACGGTGTTTTCCATAATCTAAAAAGGGAGATTGGGGAACAAAAATGCCTCACTCCCAATTCACTTTGAGCAACCGTAACCTTTGAGCAAACGCTAGAACAAGCGTGTAAAAATCAGGGGGGTAATTGTACCACATACATTTTCATTCTACCTTAACGAATTCAAATTTATTTAGTTTTACAGTCCACCAGGGTCGCTTGTAAAAGTTTAATATTTAGCTTTGAATAGTATACGTACCAGGTGGTTTCGCAGCCGAGTTTTGGTTCTACACGTACTTTTATGTATGTAATGAGTACTTATCGAATATACGTAGAGGAATGCATCCTGTTAGAAAAAAAATTTAATCGAGATATATTTTTTCCTTATCTTCGATTAGAAAGCCGCAAAACTATCGACGACAAGAATTTCAGATTTGCGTTTATATAACTTTGTGTATTACAATGCTACGCCTGCAGAATATGTTTAATAACTACTTGTTTACCTGATAGGCTTATTAAAGATTCGAACGCCCCGCTAAAGATGCTGCAAACCAGAATATTCTCCCCAGGTCGACTTTAAACTGTTACGCAGACGAGTAGTATAATTCAGCCGGGTTTTAAGGAGTGTTAATAAATTTCAGACCTATTAATGAGGGCAACTATTAAACACCACGAATGAAGGCAGGCTGGTACAATAGCTAGCGGACTATCTAAAAAATATTGAAGACAGCTTTGGACATTGGATCCTAATATATAACACTGACTGACTGTTTGCAACTCTTCTTAGCAAGAAGTATGGTACATGGCCTTGAACGCTTCGTTAGTTCCATAGGCCGGCAGAATATACCGATGCATCACTTAGATTTAACTGTTGTGATAGCAATTGCTTGAGATGTCATGCGTGAGATACTTTCATGAGGCCTGTTCTGAATATTGGTCCATCAATCATTTACGAACAATAGTCAAGGACAACATTATGCCGCTATGTTATGGAATTGCCTTTGTCGTTTTACATGTGCGTGCGTGCGTGCATACACTTCACGTCCTTATGAAGATGGGTGGTAAAAATGCAGCGATCGTGTTTCCTGACTGTGACCGGGCCAAATGCTTGCGAACCCTTCTGCGCGCGTGCTTTTTAAACCAGGGCGAGATTTGTTTGTGTACGAGCCGGGTGTTCGTGCACGAGAGTATCTACAAAGAGTTCTTAGCTGACTTCGTTGAGGAGACCAAGCAAGTTCCAATCGATATCTCTATCTATCTAAATGTGCCTTATCTAATATATACTATGTATAAGCCGTTCGCAAGGTGATTGTATTTGCTAGCCTGTTTTACTATGAGGAAAAAGTAGCACCGTAATTAACAACCTGACTCTATAGACCTCTACCAGTCTAATACTCATATTTATTTAAAAAACGCATAGAAAAGACAGAAACAGACAACACAGTACGATGTCAAGATGTAGCTGCTGGGCTGTGATCTGGCATATGATTCACATTTTAAAACCAGGAGACATAGAGTCATAACTACATTCTATGAGTCATAGATTTGAACTGACGTAGTAATCATATTAATATGGTAATGGCATATATACGTGCCACCACTTCTACTTACTTTCTGAACACGTTATGAAAAATCAGAAGTCTTGTACGAGAGACCACCTTATTGTTTCCAGATAAATTATCAGTCGGGCTTTACTCGTACAAAGAAAACCTGATCACACATAAAATATTACGTATAATTGTGTAGATAATCTTTAGCAGATTGGTTCATAATTATAACTCAAGTAAGTAATACTTAATTTTTATTTTACAGAGCTTTAAAGGTCGGACCTCCAACTGAACGGGATTCATTTTTGGGAGCTTTGATCTCAAAGGAACACTTCGAAAAGGTAAACCTTGAGAGTATGTATTTCTGTTTGTTCTCGTTTAATAGGCCAAAATTAACCTCACAAATAAGTTATTGTGCCTGTAGCATTTCCTTACCTATAATGAATAATGAGTTGTACTCGTTTCAGGTACGTGGTTACATTAAGTTAGCGCATGAGGAAGGTGGCACAGTTCTAACCGGGGGCTTACATCCGGTTCCGGGATTGGACGATCAACATAGCCTGGTATGTATACTACGGCCTTAGCACTTTTTAGATCACTAGTTGCGTCACGGATATATTATATGGTTATATCCCATACTATTTAAAGAACTCGTAATTCGAAATGTTGCCGATTATATAATTGAATTCGAAGCCTTGAAAAACGATGATAGTGTGTTGTTAAATTGAAACGAATCTGAAAAGTGTACTATATTTGTATTACGTTTCCATTTGTAACAAATTACTGGAACAATCATATTTTTGCTTTTATGCGTATATATAGGGTTACTATGTGCTACCGACAGTTATCGAAGGTCTTTCTGCTTCGTCGCGCTGTATGCAAGAAGAGATCTTCGGTCCGGTAGTCTGCTTCTGCTCATTTAGTGACGAGGAAGAAGTAGGTACCACACATTGTACCACAATGTTTACCAATTACTTTCAATAGAAAATAATAGTAGAGTAACGGAAACTAATAATCTAGGGTAATCCTACCTAAACAGATTCAGAATACCTAATTACCCTTTTTTACCATTAGAGAATTCATATGATTTCTACCTTTTTCTCGTATTTTTTGCCCACAGTCCCACTGCAGGGCCCTTATGATAAATCATTGAAGCTAATATAGATGAATCGCCCGCGTAAAATATTGATTATGATTTTTCTTATTAATCATGTTTCCTATAGGAGCTCAAAATGGCGAAAGTTCTAAAAGGATAACGCTCTTTAGTATATAAACACTTCAACGAAATCATTCGATACAACTGCTCGATTCATCGCGTCAAATCTTCCTAAGAAATAAATCAACATCCGATATGCATTACAACTACTAGTAAATTGTATTTGTTTCTAAAATGGGTCAGCCCCGGGCTTATTATTTTCTATCGTACAAGTAGGCCTTGTGGACGTTTGCTTTGCAATCTCCGTCAATCGAAGTTTCGCTGTGTTTGTATAGTAGTTAGGTGATGGAGTAGCTGTTGTATAAGTACAATATTGTTAGTTATATCTGAAAAAATCGCTTAGTATATAGGAGAATAACCTTAGGAGTAGAAGGGGACGAAATTTTTTCTTTTGCGGCACCTACGAACCTTTCTGTTGAGACTACGCCCATATAGATATATGGCCTTCTACGGCTTGAACTACATGCGACTGTGTGATGTTGTTTTCCGTATAGAATGCATCACTGTCTCTTTTTGTCTATATATTTTCGTATTTGTATTACATAATACTCTAGGTTCGTATTCAACCCATAACCAGCATATTTGCATTATCTCATTTAGTTAACTTCGTCTATGAGCAACTAGCAAAGGTAATTCATTACCCCTCATGTCTGGCAAAGCTTTGAGTCATAGTGGAACACAACAGAATTATATTTCGTAAAAATATTTGGGCCAACTGAAATGAAATAGTAAATCTCATTAATTTCATCGTTCAACAGTTTTACTTATTTATTAAAATTATTACAATTTATAGATCCAGCATGGTGTGAGCGTTGTCTCAGGACGTGATTGACCTCCTAAGGAAAAAATCTATTTGTACTATAGAAAGTGAGAGGTGTCAATAGTTGGCTACAGACTGTCCAATTTATCAATCAATTATTTGCATTAATGGTTTAGTAGATACACAATGGTTGTATCTTTGGGTTGCTGCTCACTAGCCTAAATAGTATTCGACTCAGACGCCTGCAAAATGTAACTGCAAGACATCAATGAAGCTAGATCATAAGGCAGATAGTTGAAAAGGAGTCTTAGGAAGATTTCGAGGCCTTAGTGTTTATCTACAAGTGTAAAGTACCTGTAGGGCCCCTATTCAGAACTGAAACAAACGGTTTCACTGCTGATCAATTCAAAAAGAGTTTCTTTTTAATGTTTTTGTCATTGATTACATTTGTTCATTGAGGAAAAGTCATTGGCGTTTCCGTTAGGCTTACGAAAACTAGAGTAAACTCTAAGGGAAAAGCTAAATGCAACGCTAAACCTAATAATATATAACGTATGATGCTGTGTCTAGACTTTTATTGCATAAGTACCGAAAAAAGTTGATCTACCATTAAAGATCTAAATATCCACCATTTTGTGTTAGGTGCTGGACCTCGTAAATGGAGTGCAATACGGACTCTGCGCAAGCGTTTGGACAATAGATGTGCGCAGACTTCACCGCATTGTTAATTACATTGACGTACGTAACCTTCTAGCTACTTCTCCCATAAACTTTGTGGTACCTCACTAGCGTACCATAATCTATGCATGCAGAATCGGCGATTTTAATTTGTGTACATGGTACAGACATACAGCATAACCCTGCTGCGATATATCCGAGGTGTCATATGTTAGTACCAAGATGCAAAACAAAAAGAAAAACATTTTTTTGGTTTGCCTATTACATAGTGACAAGTTCTATTCAATCAAATGTTAAATTAGTAGAATTCAAACGATAACCACCTTAGCTGGAGTCAAAGTCTAGCTGACTCAACGTTCGTCTCATCCCAAAGGTATTAGTTACTTGATTTGCTGGATTTTCAGAAGGACAACAGTCAGTGTTCTGCACCTACGAATCCCACTATCGTTCTACTGTGCTAAAACCGCGAAAAAAACGATGCCCGTCCTTTCAAGAGACTCTAATAGCCTTTTATTTTAAAACGCCCGATCTGTCTACACATGGAATAATAAAGTAAAAGGGCTCATTTTTATCGTTTAGCTCCGACGGAAGGAAAATGGATATGAAAAAAAGCCACTTATACGTGCCAGTGTGAATCAAAGTCTTGCTCGGGCCATTGTTGTACACTATAACTGCGCATTTGCTATAGCCAAAAATAGTTAATAGTACATTGGTGCTCATGTTGAAGGTTCTCTATTGATTATCCCGTGGTATTGGTGTGTTTGAAAAGAACAAAGATAGCTAGACATATCTAGGATTCAACAATAATTGTCATGAGATGAGCGTAGTCGCAGTTGTTATCAAAACAGAATCTTTTTATTCTTTTTACGAAAGACAAGATGAAAAGCTTTGCTCAGAAGGTTCAAACGCTGTAACCAGGATTTGAGAATCGATTAATTTAAGTAACAGCGAGTCATTGCTTCTATCCTTTAGGCCTTTATGATTGTCCTTATCTGTGTTATATAATGTCGCAGCAGAGCCATGTAAATATGGTCTGCACCGTTTACCATCAAAGCTTGGAGACAGTTACCTAACCATAGATCCTCATTCGTGCACGCTTATTTTTCTGCGTAATTTCCTATTATTACCATTACGTACAGCAGAGTTTGTGTGAGTTAGTGTGATGCACGATCGTTGAACAAAAATGGCTTTTTTGGGACAGTGTGTGTAAAGTGTGCAGGCTTTTAGGAAGAAACCCTATCCTAACTTTGCCGATATGGCCTGGATCGTTTTTGTTTTGCATCCAATCGTAATATATAAAGGTATTATTATTGTTATAAAACACTTGTCTATAATACCTATTTAGTTACATATTTTTACTACGGTTTGCTACATGTTCTTACAGGTGGGCACTATCTGGGCTAACTGTTGGCTCGTTCGTCATTTGCATTTGCCATTTGGTGGGACCAAAATGTCGGGATTGGGCCGCGAAGGAACGGAGCCCTCGCGTGAGTTCTATACCGAATGCAAAACTGTTTGCGTTGATTTCAGCTTGTAGATATCAGTGACTAAATGGACTCAGTGGTTATTCCAGGTGATGATGGAGACGATGATAATAAAGAAAACTCACAAATTACAGATGATTCCCTTTTACTTATTTGTTCCGTTGAACAAGAACGCACACATCTTAATTTAGATGATAATCGTAATAGCTATGTGTGTTATACTTTCTATTAGTTCCTTTTTAACTAAAATACTTCGTACAATAATGTAAAGTATCGGGCTAATTTTAGGTATATTTATACAACTTTTTTTATAATATATATATATATATATACGTGATGGGTGACCCATTTTTTGTAAGGGACTGTACGTTGTACACATTCAGAACGTCAGCGTATCCATTGAGCATATCCCATCAATGCTGTCATACTAGGATGCGTGCACTTTCATTTCTCGTTCAAATTAGGTGAATACATCACTAAATTCAGTAAAAGACTTAACAGTTTCCAAGAAACCAAGTTCTTGATGACATTGAGCAATCAGCGACATACAATTGATCAACCTATAATAAATAGTACTATGCAAATTGCCCTTGTAGTCAAAGCTTACCTAATCCTAAACCCGTGCGTTTCAACATGCCCAGCGATTTCGTTGGTCAGAAGCTAAATGTAGTACAATGTTACTATTTCTTAAAACTCCTTTCGGTGTGACATACGTCACACGGTTAGTTACGGATGTCCGGCATTTGGTTCTTTAATTTATCACAACAGATAATCAACGACGTAAGTTTTCATACGCCTCAGTTCTAGGTAGTTCGACAAGAAGCAACCAGGACAGCAGTATTCTACGTAGCGTTAACGTCACGTATGTTTCCTAAACATTAAGCCAGTGCTAATATAGTGGAACATGTTTTTTTTTTGTGTGTCTCTTTAATACTGAATCCGCAGCATTCTTCGATACCCCCCATAACCTTAATGTTCACTTAACTTTCACATAATCCAAATAATCAAGACTCTACAACTTTGATGATACCCAAGAAACAGATCGCATGGGCCACTTAGGCGGTGGCGTACGGATTGCTGCTTTCGACGAAAGCTCGAAGTATAACTGAGCTTATACCGCTTTCTCCATATAATTTTGTTAATAATAAGGGGCACTAGTATTAATATTTCAATTCAACCATAGGTTTCCTGTGAACACGTCTTTGTCATAGGTCGACATTTGTTATTCTATTGTTTACTGGTAGATATATCAACTACCTAAAAAAGATAACACCTAAGCCATATTTTAAATCTACCATCTTACAGTATTAAAAATAGCAAGCAAAGCTTTTACATTACCTCAAGCGGCAAAATCTTCAGCTGTGAATCCAGCTACTAGTGATAAATAAAATACTATAAGTATCTGCCATTACATCCAAACGCAATAGGTGTATTTTTATTAACATGAGGGCTCTTTCCCGCAAGCCATGGGTTGCTTGCCACGCGGCAGCGTAGGTTTATCTATTTATTGTATACGTGAGAAACCGCTCGAAGTTCCACTTTTATCTATTTTATATGGAAAACACAAGATTAATATCAATATTGTTCCTTGCGCGTTACTGGATACTCAATAATAAAAGGGCTACCCTCTTTTATGTCATTATATGGCCACGTGGGATTTATTTGACGCATACGGTGCAGTAGGTGTTCTATCGAAGGATACTAGAAAAGTTCTTTTCGCTTATGTGCTGCTGCAATTATCGCTCAACGGTTTAACTGCCTTCGATACTGCGCGATACTCTGCCTGATTGTTACGGATATCCTCGTCCTTGTTACCCATAACCGACAAAAGTGTATTACGTTGCGAATGTTCGCCGGCGAAACCGAAGCCACCAGAGGTGGCTCTATTAAAGAGAGATCACTGGTCTAGACTTACTTCAACAAGTAAGTTGAAATTTATGCTTCCATTTATGTAGCGCAAACATGAATGTACTAAGAATATTAGAGACACTTCAGTGCTGTGAAAGGTTGGAAGCTCCTCAAGAGAAATATCTATCCCAGCCAAAAACTGAGCCCGTGAGAAATGAATGGCGGCTCGGCATTATTTTGATTAGTTGTCCTGTAATTGCATATTTAAGTAGAGATGTAAAATTCAAAAGGTAAAGAAACAAATTGATATATAAACGCTATTGTTTGAGCATATGCAGATCGAACAAAGACTGCGAGGTTGATTTGGCCAAAACTTACTTTTGGAACCTTCAGATTTTAGTTAACCTCTCACGGGGTTATACTTTCTGTATATGCACTTTATAAGATTTATTATAACAATATGGGCGTCCGTGTGGATTAAGTAGCGAGCAGATTAACTTTCGCAGAACGTACACATATGTATATACCGGCAGCAAGTCGATGTCCTGTTGATCTTCGGTTCTCCAGCGTGCTGTTTCTAGTGGCTGAAGGTATAAGCGGTGGACCGCGTTATAGCAGAGTTGGCTAGCGAGTATTTCATTTGCATGAGTTGGAAGTTATGAACTTGAATTCTTAAAGACCGACAACGCTTGCGATTCCATGCACCTACACGTTTGCACACTTACAAAGCTCGCTCATCTCTGCTCTGGCACTCCATCACTAGGTTTTATCGCCAATGAGCAGGAACAATTGCTACTAGCTTTGAGCACATTTGGCCGCCAGCGCTTTTTTCTTTTAAATACCACTATAACCGCTGAGTTATAATTGTACATACGAAGGTGTAATAGCGTTTCTATTTGTAAACTGTGAAAATCTTAAAAAGCGGAGGGCTTTTAAGAAAGGTGTATTGTCGTTATTGACATGACTGCACTCTTCAAGTCTGTCTCGATAAAATTAATTAAAGACGGTTCCAAAGAACCCAATTGAATAATGTATTGCTGAGCCAGGTGCCAAAAAGTTCAGAATAGGAGGGATCCGCAATATCATAATTTAAAATTTATTGTGTCTTTTTGCTCGCCGACTGCATTTGCCATCCTTTAAGCATGCCCATGGAGTTATATGGTCGTTCCTGCCAGTATTGTACTCTCACTCGCAATACAATTACGATCACTGCGCGTACCTTTCCTTAATCCGTCTCCCCGATTATTTAAAAGGTCTACACGACACATAAATCTATTCTTCGCAATCTTATCAAGCATCCCGAGAGCAAGCGAGGCGGGCTGTGTCTTCAATCTGCAACCCCAGCGTACAGTATTGTAGTGCTTGTCTCGTCACGCACACCTTTCTAGATTGCTATCGGCTTATCTTTCGGATCATTGCTCGTACGTATTAATCAGAGTACTCTGAGTCCGCATTTGTTATAACATCATTAGCAGACATAGAGAAACAGCACTCTGATGATGGTGTCTAGCGAAGACGGCCGCGCAGTCTTCAAGTTTGTTGCTCATAAAAACGGTACAGGTTATTTTAGGGTTTCGGCTTAAGATACTGCTCGGCACATCATTTTTTAGGTAGTTCTAAGCACCGACCGTCTACTTCAGCGGACCGGACGGCTAATTTCCTATTCGGGCATCTTTAAAGTCTAATGTTAAAGATGGAAATAAAATACACTCAAAATGCTCTAGTTATGTTCGATTATTAGACGAACTCAAGCTTTCAGTTATGTACGCTTCTTTGCAAGACAGACAAAAGTAACCACCCATTGTTCGCAGAAAGTAAAGAAAATAGGTTTAATGTATGCCAGTTCTGCTAAGGCATAAGGTATAAGTCTGCACAGCTAAAACGCAGTCACATTTAAATCAGATTATATTGTCTCTATCAAGTCAAGAAGAGGTTCTGTATGTACAGGATGTGGGAAATGTATAGAACGGATCTTACAGAATTCCATGGACTTTTTTTGGAGATATCTTGAAATCAAAGTGTACATTAGAAAACCGATGTCAGTAGAGTATTTTAAAGCAACTGAGCAGGAATGCGCCTATCTCAGAACTAAACGTTTGTTGAAGTTTGTAAATCAACAGCTCAACGTAACGAGTAACGCTTTGACTTCAAAGGTAATTATTTTGAACATCTGCAGTAGGAGAAAATTATACAATCTTTTGTTCATTCAAATATTTAGTGTATATAAATAAAAAAAAATTAAATTATAATCATTAAATTATATATATATATAGGGCGTCCCAAAAAACGAACATACATATATATATATATATATATACAGGGCGTCCCAACGTAGAACTTAATGGGCGCAAAAGTATAGCGTGTGGATTACCGAATCATTTTTCTTTAATCTTGATAAAGCGTAAATTGCAATCGATAGAAGGAGAAGAAAAAGACAATGCACCGGAAGAAAACTTAACATCGAACGCTTTATTAGGAAATCTCCTAGGCACACTCAGAATACATAGGCACTGTTTATGTAGGAGAAGGACTTCCCCGATTTCATGGCGCAAATCGTTGTGCACTGCCGTGGCCGATCGCCGAGGCTGTCCTGGCCCCTGTTCTACGAAGAACGTATAGAGAGAGCCGCTACATATCGCTTTGTCGTGAGCTAAAAACAGATTGTCATGCTGTGTGACAGACATTGGGGATATATACCTGGTTTCATGTTATAGCCGAAGGAAGTAGAAATGCGATTTAAAGCATTCGTAAATTAATAGCTTTCTGTAACTTCCGACCAGTATTAATTATAATGGCTTCAGCTTTCAGTTGGTAAGTTTTGTTGCCTTAACTCCGCATGTGCGTAATAGGTTTCAGACGTTTCAGTGAGAAAAGCAGAGTTTGTATAAACTATACGTATCGACAGCAAATGTTCCCCCATATACCACGTATCTGCGTACGACCTACATACTTTTTCTTTTACTTTGAACAGAGTCTACTTTTGTTTGTACTCTCGTAAAATCTGGTCCAATTTGCCCCAGAAATTGCGTTTCTATTTCTCTGAGCCTTTTTAGTTACGTAATTAATTTTAGAAGGATTTTGTGAGGCTTTAGTAAACAAATGTAGGTTTCCGTCTGTCGTGATGCTCTCGGTGCTTACTCCAAGCGCTCTGTTCGAGCGTTCGTTATCAAAGCTCATCCAAATGTTACGTGGATGGTTTCGTATTAGACCCAAATTGTTTCAAGGGGGGTTTTCATTTTTAAATAATCTTTGTTTCTTGAGATGAGGCAAA